TATATATATATATATATATATATACTGTCGCCTTTTAGAGCTGTAGTGTTCTATTCAATCAGTTCTCTGACATGAGTTACATGTGTCGTTGGAAAATCTCGACAAGCTGATTTTGTAAGTCGATAATTAAAGATAATTTTGTTAACATTTGTTGTTTCAATTTTCACAGAAATTCGGGAAATTAAGCAAATAAACAAATTTTCAAATTGTCCCGCTATTGAAATCAACCGCAAAGTTGACAAAAAACTTGACGGATATTTTTTTCCGGGAAAATCATTTGCTTCAAACTCTCTATCGCGATTTGTAAAAAGAAAAAAAAAACATATACGCGAAAAACTTTTCAAACTGATCCGTTGATGAAGTTTGAAAAAGTGGAAACGTAGAACACAGGACTCGATCGCGACGTGTAAAATATTTGTAATATAAATTTTCATGCATAAATTTATACGGAAACGCGCGCTACTTTGCGCAACATGTGGCGCACGTCCAGTGCGCGAAAATTCCAAAAAAAAAAAAAAAAAGAGATCAGGACACGGTTATTGTGTACAGAAGGGTGCACCATATCGTTCCGCTCCAAGAGAGATTTTTCTCTGAAATTTCTCTTCTGGCTGCTTCTACTAACGCGCGCCCAACTCTTTTGATCTCCTCCAGCAGCCCGAGATTGAAGGAAAACGGCGCGCGGTAGTAGGGACAACCCGGAGGAGAAATTTCCGAGAACTTCCCCTAAGAGCGGAACGATATGGTGCGCTCCTCCGTACAATACTCGCAACTCGTTTGTACAATACTTGTGTTAAACGTTTGAAATACCTACTCCAAAATGCTTCTTCTCTTCTTTCCCTCTCTCGTGCCCCGCGCACAGAATAATTCTCGTCCCGATCGCTCGAACGCGATCTCTCTAATAAAACTAACTCTAAGAAGAGAGAGAGAAAATGTTAACACAAAAAAAAAGTTTTATTTTACCAATGGGATCGGATCCGGTATTCGAGGATCTTCCGGCAGTCTGCTGTGCTTCTCTTTGCGACGAATTTTCGTTTCCTTTTCTTTGAGAGTTTTGTAATCCTTCTGATGACGCGGGGGCGGCTGCGGAACCGGCGGCGGTGTACGCGGACGCGGCAACGGCGGCGATCGCGGTCTCGCGCGCGGCAATGCTCGCGAACTCGACGCGGTCACTTCTTTGGGATGCGTTCTGGCTCCCCGAACCGGCGTGATCGATCTCGAACGCGAACGGGATAACGGAGCGACGCGTCGTCGTTCTTTCGGCGAACAAACGGAACACGATCTGTCGGAACACGTGCTACCGGTGCTCGGACTACGCGCGGCCGGTCGGCCGCCTCCTCTGTTGTGCTCGCGCGACGAACGATCGCGGGGCGATCGCGGACTTCTCGCCCGCGGTGATCGCGGACGCGGACTGTGAGGACTACGGGGTCTCGGACTTCTCGGACTTCTCGGATGATTTCTGCTGCTCGGCTCGCCGCTGCTCGTACCGCTCACATACAACTCCTTGTAACCGCTGTGACGCCATCTGTTCGGATCTCGCTCTTCGGCTTCCAACAGCTTCTTGTTCCAGTAGCTCGATTGCGACTCGCGCGCTTTTCGCATCACGCTGTCCAGTTCTTTTCTCTTGCTGGAACTCTCTCCCTGCGACGATCTCGATTGCGAAACGCTTGTGTCCATTCGCAGTCTGCTCGAACTGCTCCCGCTACCGCTCCCGCCTCTTCTTCTGTCGTAATCCCGGGATGACATTTTCTAACAAACAATTTTAAGCTCGCTTAAAATTCTCTCTCTCGTTTTTTCACAATCAAATAAACCAACTTTTTTTTTTTTTTATATATGCAAACATCGCCGTATCTATGGCACCAGATTGATTGATTGATTGAACACCAGAACTTACTGTGTGTGATTAAATTGCGGTCGACACAAGATTGGGAAGAACGCTGCGGCACAGACAGAAGATATACGAGACGAGAATCCAGAGATAGTTGCGTTGCGGACCGACGGCGCGGATATTGAATATTTTTTTTGCAACCTTAATATAAAGGATGCGCTTAACGCCAACCGCTACAAACGCGCCGAAAGACCACTTGGCAGAAGCTCCGTCCTGATCGGCCTAAGTGAAAAATTCTACATGTCACAAATCTGGTAGAAGCGCCGTTGAGAGATGAGAGACGGTTATAAAAGTTAGCATTTTTCTAAGTGCGTTCTGTATTTTTTTTTTTTTTTTTTTTTGATTCACGTAGATTCGATTTTTTGGTTTTTTGGTTTTTTGCGACAGTCCATATGTGTGTGTGATCTCTCTCCGTTGTGTGAGATACGTACAACGGGGGTTTTTTTTATTGTGCCTTACCGGAACGGCCACTCACCGCAACGCACGTCCAGAGATCCCATGCGTGCTGCGCGCGCGCGCACGTGCGAATTCGTTTTTACGACGACGACGACGACGACGAGGAGAGAGTTCGCGAGGAAATCCTCCTCTCTCTCTCTCTCTCTCTCTCGAAATTAGCGGCCCGCGCGCGCCGTTTTAGACCAGCGCGAAGAGAAACGGAATTCCCCGGATTTCCCCGCGCGCGCGTTTCCCCGATGAAACGTTGAACGATCGGACCGGCACTCGCGACCGATTATAATACACGGTGTTGTGTATTTTGAACGTCCGATTTCGAGAGAACGATCGAGACGTTCCCACCAGCCGGAGGAGAGAGTGTGAATCGGATTCACACTCTCGTCGTCGTGTTCCGGACACGCGAATCGGACGCGGTCGTCCTAGCGGCGCGTTGCGCCTCGCGGAAGAGGTCCCCGGGACACACATCGCCGGTACACCTCCTCGCAGTCACTTGCTAGTCGCGACGACGACGACGACGACGACGACTCGACTACGTATACAATCTTCTTGCGTCCCCGAATTTGGGGGACGGGAAAACACAGTCACCTTTTTTTTTTTTTTTTTTTGGAACGCGACCTTCGCGTGCCACAGTGCTGCGTCCGCATCCCTCGAGACGCGCGAACGACGACGACGACGACGACGATATCGCACGTGTCGAGGCGGTGACATCGTGTTTTTTTCGAGGATACCGGCGCGAGATCGCGACCGAATAGAGGCACGACCATGGGCACGACGAAACGTTTCGAGAGAGAGAGAACCGACCGAAGAGAGAGAGAGCACACGCGCGCGACCGCCGATAAACGCGTCCCCGCCCGCGCGTCAACCCCCTTCGCTTCTTCATCCCGCAAGAGCGAAGGTTGGCGGCGCCCGCTTTTATCTCTCATTACTCTCTCTCTTTCTCTCTCTCTCTCTTTTCTTTTCTCCCTTTCTCTCTCACTCGCGCGCGCACGTCCTCTCACTCTCACTCTCTCTCTCGCTCGCTCGCTTGCTCGTTCGCTCGCTCTCTCTCTTTCTCCCTCTCGCTCGCTCGTTCGCTCACTCACTCTCTCGCTCCCGCTTTGCTGCGCACCAGAGATTCCTCTCTCACTCCTTCTCTCTCACTCTAGTATCGATTCTTTTTTTTTTTTTCTTAATGTGACCCGTTGCGGTCACCGGAACTCCGGAAAAATTCGGACGTGTTCTCTCTCGGTTTTTTGGACGGCGCGCGATCGTCTGGACATATAGTATCGCCGACTTCTCTCGGCGGAAGCGCGACAAGACGTGTGTCCCGCGCGGGGAACAACATCACACAGGAGGAAGAACGACGTTCCCCCCGCGCTCGCGCGCGCAAACGATATTCGGTCGCACGGCAAACAGCACCAAAAAAAAATCAATCATCATCGCCCATCATCATCCATCATCTAAAAACAAGACGAATCTCTATCACGCGCGTCGCGGTTACGTCCCCCCGCGCTCAAAACGCGCTGAGGGGGGAGATAATATTGGCTTTCTTTTTTTTTTTTGTTTTTTGTTTTTTTTCTTTTTTCTCTTTCTGTACGCGGGAGCCCGCGTGCGAAAACGGACGGAACACTCACTTTTCTTCTCGCGCCCGAAACAACAGCCCGACAACTTGTGAAAATATAATGTCTGGCACACGACAATACTTCACTCTCGCGTGTGACGTTGTGACACGTTCGCCAGACGCAGTTCGCCATAAACTACTGTCACACCGGGAGCACAATACGCGTATACACGTATTATTTCCCTGCCTGTAAAACCGCGTCGATAACGTTGTACCGGTTGCGCGCGCGTCTTTCGGGCGCGGTTTACACGCGTTCGAAACGAAAGAGAAAGGGCGACTTGGGGGGAGATCGACCAATCGCGAGCGCTTCGGAGGGACGTCCTTAGCTGTGTTCCAAGATTCACTGCGAGCGCTAGAAGATCTATAGTTTACGTCACATATATTATACAATGGGTGCGTTCAGACAACTCAACGGTTGAGAGATCATCACTTATGATAGGACTACTTCTTCAAAATCTTATCGCGGTTCCAAAAGTATGATCCAATCCAGAAGTGATTGTCTCTCAACCGTTGAGTTGTCTGAACGCACCCAATTTTTTAGCAGCGTGCTGGCAGCAATTCTGAAACAGCTAGGGTACGTTCCAAAATCCTACCTTGGTTACTAAAATGCTATATCGAAACAAAATCGCTCGTTTGCTCGATTGGTTGATCGTTTCGCAAAAATTGTTTATCCGACAGCCAATCGCACGCCGCTCTTTCCGCAAGAACGGAAAATTACGCTCGAATTACGCTGGAAACTTCGCTGTGTGTGTGAACGAGTCAGAGATTGTCGGCTATTGTTTTTTTTTTTTTTACAAATTATTTTTTAATAATTAGTAGTTGACTTTTTGCACAATAAATTTCTTTCGCGCGCGCGTATCAGTTTTAAATAATATATTATACAGAGATAAATATATATATATATGTGTGTGTGTGTGTATATATATATATATATATATAAATTTATTGTGTGAATACACCCACAAACGTATACTTCAATCATCGGAACCAGCAGTCTTTCTTGCTTTCCTTTGTCGTGGACTTTGCTTTGGAGTTCTAGGAGATTTATCTGTAAACGCCACAATTTTTTTTCACTTCAGTTTTTCTTTTAAAAAAAACCATAAACTAGTTGATTTGCATTTTTTTTTTTTATTATATAGCTCGAGTACGCGATTATGAAATATTTTTGTCCGTTCGTACTCACTGATTCTATTGAGAGTTTCTTTTGGCAGCCAGTCGTAATCTACGTTATTGGGATTGGACGTGCCGATTTCTACGGTCGCTTTACGGGTGGTGGAAGAACGCGATTTTCGTCCGAGAGATGACAACAATTGCTGACCTCCCACGAGAATCAATATGACGCAAGCGGTGAGAAACACGTACAGGAAAATAGTTTCTCCGTCTAGACCGTCGTCAATCTCTATGATCTGCACGGTTTCGTTGAAGACCGCCTCGTTGTAAGAGACTCCGTTCTGCAAAAACAAATAATAATGATATTAATGACAAGCAAGTCAATAAATACCAACTTTCCGAGTTATCTTTCTCAAACACCTTATTTGAATCATCTCGTTCCACTCTATGTTTCAAATGTTGCATTTGAACAAAAAAAAAAAGATATATTATAATCTGACAAACATACCGTATCTCTGTAATTGAGATTGACATTCAAACCAAATGGTCTTCCGGCAAAGCTCTCGGATGGAATGAAGGAATACGCCAGCGTGGCTTCATGATTGGGTTTTACAACCTTATTAAACGTGAACGTAGAAAAATTCTGAATGTAAAAATTGAAATCCATCGCATAACGAAACGAAGCGTCTAAAGATTCCAAAACAAAATCATTTTCACCCTTGTTGGTAAATCCCACAAGAAACTCCACTATATTTCCAGCCGGCAATTCTGTAAAATTTATATTAGATATTGTAAAAAAAAAAAAAAAACCATCATAAATAAAATAACGCATATTCTCTAAACATTCCGTCGTGATAAAAAGTGTAATTAAAATACCAAGAGTGGACAATGTGTTGTAAACAGGCTTTGTAAAAAGTATTGTTGTATCCGCGTCGGTGGAGACATTATTTATTTCCTCTTCTGTTTCTTCATCAATTATTATATTACCTTCCTCACCTTCCACATCAACAATATCATCAATATTTTCTTCCTCTTGAGCATAAGCAGTAAATCCTGTCAAAAATAAAAACATATGTCAGAATGAGAATTTTTAATTTAAACTGAAAACTGTTTAATAGTTTCTCAATAAGTTTTGTTTAAAATGATAACGTGTGTGTGTGTGTGTAAAATAACATGTTTAAATCTCTCTAACTGGAATGTTAAATAGAAAAAAAAATAAATCAAAGGATTTTATTTGAAATAAAAATATTTTCAACAAACACACAGATTCTGATCATATATCAATAATCGCCTAAACAAGTAGACGTAAGAATCGGTATAACAGTTGGACGTGTTTGAAACACAAACTACTTCCAGCAGCTTTGCCAAAAATTGTTCAGTGAAAATATTTTCTTTCAACAATTGAACAAAGTAATTCGCGAATAGAAAACTCGTGTGTTTGCGCACATCCATGCGTTAATGTGTGTTTTAAATATTTGCAAGCATTGTTACAAATTGTGCACATTACCTCCGGTAGCCGCGAACGTGACTATCGACGCAACCAAAATTAAAAATATCCTAATTGTTCTCATTTTGAATAAATTTATATATCCGTTCTTCAACCGGACGGCCTTCTTCTTCTGTCGAAGACGAAAGAAACACACAGAAAAGCAAAAAACTAAATTACTTATCAAAGACACCGATTAAAAATGTACAGCAGCAATTTTTCATCACCTATCACATAAAGGTTTGCGATTTCGCTACTACTAACCAACTACTAACAGCACGGGATAACGTTTCGGCATAATGCGACGAGTATTGCCATCATTGATACCACGCTACATACATACGTGGAAGTACAACATGGTAACGTAATCGTCCACTTTCGTCAACGTGGAACGTGAAAGCCCGGACCCGGACGGGGTTGTTGGTTTCTGACGCAACTGGTGCAGTTCCAGGTGCGAAGAAAAAGAACAGACCTTTAAACCGGCTCGCTGGCGCAGACCCAGTCCGCAATAACCAATCGTCTTGCTCGACTCTCAAGAAATCCGACCAATGCGACAGGACATTGTGCAAACTTCGGCCTAAGCGATTGGGTGCGTTCAGACAACTCATCGGTTGAGAGATCATCACTTGTGATAGGATTATTCTTCAAAATCTGCTGTGGTTCCAAAAGTATGATCCAATCAGAAGTGATTATCTCTCAACCGTTGTGCAACTGTCGAGTTGTCTGAACGCACCCGTTGGGGTAAGATCTACCCTAAAGCCTATGTCACACTACGGATTGGGATTGAGATTGGATTGCAATTTGGCCAATCAGAGAGAAGATCACTAAACTTAGGATTGGTTTTCTTTCTTCTGATTGGTCAAATTTCAATCCGATCCAAATCCGTAGTGTGATATAGGCTTAAGTGCAATCACGATTCAGATCGCACTCTTCCCCCGCCACGCTCGTTCTTCTGCCTTCTTTTACGTTGCGAGCGGTTGCAGGGTCGTCCACGTTGGAAGACCGTTCCGTGTGGTTTTAGATAGTCACGCGTAATCAACTTTCATCCACGTTTTTTTCTATAAAAGTCCTCGGTGTAAACTACAAAAATGCCTCCTAAATTCGATCCCAATGAAATAAAGAAAGGTATTTTTTTTGGCATATTTTGTTCTTGGTTAGAGATATTGAAAACTTATATAGACATACAACCGGTGTGACTTCTTCGTAGCGTAATTAAAATTGTTCTTTGTTAAACAGTCTATCTGCGATGCGTTGGTGGCGAAGTAGGTGCTACCTCGTCTCTCGCTCCAAAAATTGGTCCTCTTGGATTGGTGAGTTGGGATGTTCAGAGTCAATAGAATAACTTGTACAACAGTGTGTGTTCCATTATCTTAACACACACACACACACACACACTTTTATATGCTACAAAACTAATTAAGTATTGACATTTCAGTCTCCCAAGAAGGTTGGTGACGACATCGCGAAGGCCACCAGTGATTGGAAAGGTCTAAAAATCACTGTTCAACTGACCATTCAAAACAGACAGGCGACAATTTCTGTCGTACCGTCAGCAGCCTCTCTGATAATCAAAGCTCTGAAAGAACCACCTAGGGATCGCAAGAGACAAAAGAATATCAAACACAGCGGCAATTTGACATTCGACGACATTGTTTCTATTGCTCGCGCAATGAGACCGAGATCCATGTCGCGAACTCTCAGCGGCACGGTTAAAGAGATTCTGGGAACGTGTCAGTCGGTCGGCTGCACGGTAGAAGGCAGACCGCCTCACGATCTAATAGACGACATCAATGGAGGAGAGTTAGAAGTTCCCGAGGAATAAGTTTTTTTTAGGTGGGTATAGAGCCCTTTGATCACACTTCTTTCATTTTTGACAGAAGAAATATTTAAGATTATTGATTCAAGAGCTATCGTGTGTCATTTAATTTTAATTAATAAAATGTGTCAAAATAAAAAGTGTTATCTTTGGGCTCTTGGTAGGGGTTGGCATCCCATCCACCTGTTTTGCATTAACATTATTAATATTGTTACATGCAAGCAGGCATCTGGCCACTGAGGAGACAAACCTCAATAAAAAATCATGTGCTTCAATATCGTATCGCGACAGAAACATTTTGTACATATCAAGGATTCTATTCCTGTTTTTTTTTTTTTTTTACAGACCTTTGTAAGGAGCGGAAAATAAAACAAATTTAAACATATGTGTTGTTTTTTTCTCAACCTCATGTTGTGTGTGCATATGTATTTGTTTGTTTATATTATCCCAACTAGATTTAGATTAAAAATTAGAAAGTTCTTCGCGTGTGTTCGAATCTTTCGACAAATAAAAAGATTCGAGATTGTCACTCGATCAAAATTTATCAATATTCCATTTACAATATATTAACATATTATATGCCAAAGTTTACGCGATGTTTTAGTTGCGTAATTCTACGTTGCAATAATTATTATAAACTATGTTATGTATGTACGTATATATAAATAATTATATATATATGTGTACACACATTGTTAAATTATAAAGATGTTATATATATTTAAATGGACTTGCCATTCACACGCTTCACTTGCGTGACGAGGATACTCTGTTGTTTACACATACATACTCACACACACACATATATACATCGTAACTGTACACATTAATATACATACGTTGCGTGTTATAATTATTGTAAAAAAAACTTACAAATTTTATAATTAAAACCGCTTCATATTATAATACAGAGCTTTTGAAGAAACTCAAGTGAAAGATGAAAATTACCCGCGGAGAAATTTGTTTTTCTTTTTTTATTATCACAATAAATTAAACACACACTCCACATGCGTCAATACCATTCTTTTAGCTCTGATTGGTCCAGCAGTTTACTTCGATCTCGGTTGTTTGAGACAACTTTGTTTTGCAAATCTTTCAATTGCAATTTCTAATAACGTACATATTATAATTGAAATTAATTAAAAAACCACATTTCCGGAGACATTTGAGAAACGAATGCTAATACACAAACGCATCAACACGGACCGACACACACGCGTACAAATTAGAAGATGATGTTGATATTAACCCTGGAACACACACACACACGCGGGATCTGTCGGAGATCCTCCGCGCTTGCACTCCTTTATCTCTTTTCGCGTCAAAAATTTTGTTTCAATTTGCAAAACTAAAACCTAAAATCGTTACAACCGATTTCGGTTATCCGGTGTTTCGGATTTTCGATGTTTAAAAATTTCAAATGAAAAATCAATCGCGCAGATTTCCGGGACAAAAAAAAAAGAAAAAAAGGAATGTCTATTCCAGAGTTAATTACAAATTCTAAAAAATATATATATATAATAAAGAAAACTTTCTCGTATAAATTTATTTTTGCGCAAGCAAGCTTGCTTTATTATTGACCTAATACATGACCCCTTCCCCAATTGTGTCCTCCAAATATATTTCTCCCATGAGCATTTTGCTGCTCTCCGGGTCTGTAAACAGGCGCGGAACCAAATGAACGAACTCCGCTTCGTTGAGGTGGGAAAAATCTTTCGAGTATCTTCGGAGTATTGAGCAATTCTATACCGCCAAGTTCCTGAGGATACTTGAATTTTAAGAATACATAGAGATGCCCAACCAAAATCCCAAACAATTCCATAATCCCACCTCCGGCAATAAGCAAATTAACTCCAAACAAAACCCACGGCAGATACATGGCTTTAAACTGTGTGCCTGTCAACAAAGTAAGTTTACATAAATAAATTGTTTATTAAAAATAAACATGTGAACAATTTTTATGTTGCACAAATGCGTTAAATGCTAACTGTTTGAAAGTTTTGAATAATTTATTTCACCCGACTGTGCACATCGCAAGCAGCCAGAGTAAACTAATCATCATTTGCTCGTCTCGTACAAGTTTGCAGAAACAAAAAAAAACAAAAAACAAAAACAAAAAAAAAACAAGTACGTACCAAACCAAAAATTTACAGTGGCATCTTTGTTCAGCTGACACCATACATACAACACACTCAGCACCATGGGATCCATGAGTAAAGAGAAGTCGCCGATGACACCGATGATGACGCAGCATATCCAATTGAACAACAGAAGGAAGCAATAATCCGCGGGTTTACCATTGTACTCCCCGCGTTCTAATCTCAGCGAGTAATTGTAAAGAAAGTAACAGTTGATCAGGAAGTGAAATCCCGACGATGGATTGAGCGGATAGAAGAATACGCTGGTAACCGCTCTCCAGATCTCGAATTTGTTTATAAATCGATCGGGCCACAATATCAACAAATGCGGACTCAAGATTCCAAATCTGCCGAGCAACGTGAACAATCCGGTGCACAATAACCAATATCTCGTGAATATCGGCAACGAATTAAACCAGTCGCTTAGATCTGACATCTTTCCACGTTGCTCGCCGTGTTTTGTGTTGTTATCTGACTGACTGGTCAACTGGTGGCGGGTGGCAAACTTGGCAAGTTTGCTGCTGACTTTTGTGACCACGGGATGGGAAAAAATACAAGGTGTGACGCGTTGCGGCATCTGTCCACGAGATGCGACAACGGAACACGACGAGTGACGAGTCACGCGGTAGCCAATCAACGTCTTGTTTTTTTTTTTGACAATATATTATTTTTTTGGAAAAGCGAGACGTTGATTGGCCGCGTCGTCTGTTGCAGCGCGACGAGAGTCGTCCACGTTTCCGCGAGCAGAACCTACGTGGATATATCTAGATTGCGATAAAAACAAGAAACAAACTTCACAATGGCGGGACCAATCAGAAGTGGGGATGGGTCTGTGATTACGGAGTGTAGCTCCGTAGCTCTCGCGTCTCTCTAGACGTCTCGCCGCAAAAGCACCCACCCGGACGCGATTTAAATCCCTCAATCGATTGCGACCGGCAGGAATTGCAAAGTAACATTTTTTTAGATTGTTTTCTTTTTTTACATCAAATTTTTCTACGTACAAGTGACCAACATGTGTAATCGTTTTTTTGCTAAAAACTAATTGCTCTTTCCAGGATACGCACACTCACGTTTATTACTGCAAAAAGAATGCCAGGTCTGTGAACGGTCGTGCGATTGATTGCGTGAGGAGCGGCGAAACGTTGCAAAATGCAGGAACAACAATGCGACACGTGCCGGGAAGACGAGTTCTATACCGCGGCCGCCAAGTATTGGGATCGCATTCCGCCCACGATAAACGGAATGCTGGGAGGTTTCGGTTTCATCTCGCATTCGGACATAAGAGGATCCAGGATCTTCCTGAGGTCGATCTTCGAGGTAAACATCCTTGTAACCTTGTTCGCGAGAGATGGGTGAAAAAAAAATTAAATTAAAAAATGAATCTTTTGTTTACGACGCGAAAACGAAACAAAAACGTGCTGCCGACTTGTTTCAGTTGCAAGATCCACCTTCCAAGTCATTTGCCTTGGACTGCGGTGCTGGTATAGGAAGAGTTACCAAAAATTTACTGATAAAACACTTCGCGCGCGTGGATCTCGTCGAACAAAATCCCAAGTTCCTGGAAGTGGCCAAGATCGCTTTGGAGAATCATTCTTCAAAAGTCAATCAGTATTATGCTATTGGTAATTTGTTTAATTGCTGCAACCTAACCACAAGTTTAAAAGACAGCCGAGATCGTGTGTGTATTTTGTTATAAAATTTTGTTTCTTCAAGGTTTGCAAAACTTTTGTCCTGTGGAAAACAAATACGACCTTATATGGTGCCAATGGGTGTTGGGACATCTGCAAGATGACGACTTGATAACATTTTTTCAAAGATGCTTGTAAGTTCCTCCCCAAGCTGGGGGTTTTGTCTTGCTTTGAAAGCAGAAGGTATTCGGTGTTTCTTTCTGTATCTTCTGTTAATAATAAAAATTTGCCAACTTGCAGATCGGGTTTAAAAGACAACGGTGTGCTTGTAGTAAAGGAAAATATTACAAAGTCGAGCAATTTAGAAATTGATTCCGAAGACTCGTCCGTAACAAGATCGATGAAAGGTTTGCGCAGTTTGTTCGATAAAGCCAATCTTGTTTGCATCAAAGAGAAGCAGGAGAAGAACTTTCCGCACGGTTTATATCCGGTTTACATGTTTGCCCTTAGACAAAGAAACAAAGGCAATAATAACAAAGAAGCCAACGACACGTAATGTTAAACAAATTGAAAACTAACTAGCTTTTCATTAATTTATTTTTTTTTTTTGGACGTTCTTAAGCAAAAAAAAAAAAAAAAAAGATTTATACCTTAGTTTTTATTTATTGGATATCGTCTCTGTGTTGTTTTTCGTTCGAAAAATTTGCGACGATTAGACGAGAGAAACTTTTTATATATTGGACAATTTTTATATATTGTGATATGTGTAGAAAATAAATAAACTAAGCAATTTGTCCTTGGTGGCTATTTTAAAACTTCTATTAAAAAAAGTAATGATTTGTTTGTTTTTTTTTTTATTATTATTATTATTATTTTGGCCTTATCTTTTCGTACATAAAACGTTGATTTGCGTCTTGGGGGGAAGCGTTTATGAGACGTTTCTTCACAGCGTGAAATTGCTCCAAAGCAAAGTTGTACAATTCGTTTTCCATCTTCCACACAACCGAATGTTGAATCTTGTCTACCGTCTCGGGTAACGGATCGAGTTTTTGGGTGGTTTGTCGCAAGTGCGATTTGTTATCTACAATTAGACAAGAAAAAAAAAAAATACAAGAATTTGTCTCGTACGACTCGATAGCGCGGTACAACAGATTGAAGATCTCTCTCTCTGTACTAACTGTGCAAGAACAAGTTGTGTCCTCCTTTGAAAAATTGCGGCAGTACGCTCTCCAACACTTCCACAAAATCATTCAATTCCTCCGTAATGCCGATTAGGAAGTAGTGTCTTTGCAAATTTCGTTTGGCTTCCTCCAACGCCCAGCTATTGCCAACTTTCCTTCAAGAGTTTTGATCAAGATCAAACGGATTGCGAAAACAACAATTGTTTGTTTCCGGTAATTCTTTTTTTTATGAAATTTTTTGAGAGAAAATCAAAAGGGAGAATTTACCAACAAGCCGGATCGTGGCCGCAGAGAAATGGGATTTGAAGCCACATGTTATTGAGATTACAGTCGGGCTGGCCGATCTTTATGCACTCGTCAAATGTCTGGAAGATCAAAAAGTTCTCCTGTTAGAGATAAAATAAATTTATTTCCCATATCTTTTCACACGTACCTTCGTGTCTCCGTGTTTCCTTCTCGTGAGATGTGGTCTAAAATTATCTCCGTATCTCAAAAAGTAATAGTAAGATACAAATCGGTCTAACGGCTTTCTTAATAAATTTATATACAAAGGTGTGCGGTTAACACCAAATCTGCAATATACAAAAATACGTTGGTAAAAAAAAAAAAAAAAACTATCACGTCTTAGGAAATAAAATAAGGCCTTGTTTTGGCCTTGTTTATGCGGGTAATAACTGTTTAATTTATACCGGAATTGGTACAGTTCAACTATAGGATTTCAATGCTTCTGTTATATTCTGTTATGCTTATGTTAATAAACAGAAATATTAAAATCTTAGGCCCGCATAAACCAGGCCTAAGTGTCACTACTTTCAAGGAAGAAACAATATAAAAAAAAAACTTTGCTTCTTGTTCTCATCATTTAACATAATATTGCTTCAGTGTCTAAGTTAAATCCTTGTTGTTAGTAATTAAAAAATATTTATAAATGGGACAAATGGTAATGATGGGTGTTCACCTAAAATTCCTTAATTATTCTGGAAACCCACACGTGATAATAAAATAATAAAAATCTCCAAAAAAAAGTCAAAATGCTATTTCTACACTTTTGGATTAGTGATGGACATGCAAGACAAATGTCGTGCGTGTGTGTTACGTGTGTGTATGTGTGTGTGTGTGTCTACATGCGTGTCTTTCATCTTTGATGAAAATAAAAAAAATCTCACTTCGGTACCCACTTCTCAAAATTTAAAAACGCCATATGTCCGTGGTAAAATGCTGGCTTTATGGCATTCCAGTTTGTTATGTTGTTTGCAAATTGAACCTGCATTTTTACACTTATATCAATGATTCATGAAAAAAAAAAAAAACATCAAGCGCACGAAGTCGCGTTTCATCAACAACGTTATTTGTAAGATACAAATTATTGCATAAATGTACAGAGTCATCACAATATACTTGAAAAAATTTGACGAGACAGTAAGCGTATTCATAGGAACCTGATTTGCGAGAGTTAGAGTGTGCATGTTATTGGTCACGTTGATGTGCAACACGTGGTACTTGTTCTGCTTGCACAGATCGTAAACCAATCCCATGAAACTGGTGGAAGCGGTCTTCGGTACCCTGTTGTATATCACGACAATGTTGTTCTCCGTTACGTCCGGTACGTAATTCGAGATAACTCGCGAATCGGCGCGCGCCTCGTTCTTCGCGTCGACTCGCGCCCGCACAACGGCATCGTCTGGAAGAAACGATTCACCCAATCGTTAATCTCATCTGTGATAACATACATACGTTATCAAGAAATATAAATATTAAACATCAAAAGGAAGGGTTAGGTTTGTCAATTGCGAACGATCACGTACGCATAAGTTTGTAATTTTTCTGCAGCTCGGACACCTGAAGCTGCAGATAAATCGTCACCAAGCTGAGAACGACGAACGCCAATATCCATGGCATGAACGGCCGATTTCTCAGTATCATCTTACATCGTCGCACGGACCATAACCGTCACTTGTACCGGCTGCCGCTCGGGAGCCAGCCACGATCCGGGAATGAGACGCGGCCGGTGATCCGCCGATTGTCTCGCTCTCTTCGAACGTCAATCACCTCCACCTCGACAATCTCTCGTGTCAACTTAACGCCCTAAACTGGGTGCGAATCGGTTTGTGCTTTTGTTATAGGTTACGACGTTGACTCACATCAAGTCAACGATCTCCCGCCATGTTTTACGAAGGGTAGTGTCCACTGGAGGGGTAGCAGCGGCGCTCTTACACATGTGCACACGCACGCACACACACACAAAGATGTGTCCAGAGGCCGCGCGGAAAATCGAAACGTCTATGTACAAAACTGCTTTATATTGAACTCAGAAATACAAAACGATGAATCCTGCTGGTACATGAGATTGACTTACAGTTCTACAGAAATGTACATGTATTTGTCATCTATAATACATCTTTCTCTCTCTCTCTCTCTCTCTCGGCGCGCTATATCACAAGTCAGTCGATTCGACGTTACATCCGTACACTATTATTCGTATTAAGCTAGCCACATATAAATCAATTTACAAATTATTGATCAATCAATTAAATTCTAAGTTATAAGTTATAATTATCAATTAATCAATTTTATAAATTAATTTATACACACATTTTTCATTCAGCGCGCATTAAATCGGCGTAACGACGTCGTGCATCGCGTACCTCCAAGTCCAAGCCCTCGCCACCTCCTCGAACTTCTCGCGATCGTTCACGTACATGTCTCCGAGTTCGGGTTCCATACAGACCTGGTTGCGCCAGAGATCACAGACGTTAGAGATAATTCAAAAAGTGGCAAAAGTTGTTGTCAGTCTCAACAACAAACATTGTTTACAAATGTTTTTTTCAAAAATTATACGAAGATGATTTTTAGAGGGAGAAGAAAACACACACACTCACTTGGCAATACGGATCTGTGAGCAGACTTTGCACACTGATGAGAACTTTAGCTATGGTCAGAGCCAACGACCAGTTGTGATGTATCGAGTCTATGCCGACGTCCCCATGTCTGGACACGTTCGGGTGGAATATCTTGGTCAGAAACCTGACCACCGGAGGACACATGGGATAGCTGAAAGAAAAAGAAAACAAAAACGAAACAGAGAAATTGCACGACGGAGGGAAAGAGAAATTAATTTTGCCCAATAGAAATCTTGCAAATCTTTCTCCTCATGTGTACCTGAATGGTACTTGCAGATGTAGATAAAACAATCCGCCTTCGTACGGACTTCCAACCGGTCCCGTGATGGTTGCCTGCCAGTGACAACACATGTGATCGAGCGGCATGGCTTCGATTCCCTCGGGCGGATCGATTCTCAAACTCTTCAGTTCGCTGCGCAATCTGTTCCTACGCCAGGAATTCTCCTCCATTCTCGGCAGTCTCGATCGCAGAGAGGTTTGCGCGAGACAAGTGCGACACGGAGCCGAGGACGCGAGATAGTCGTACACCTTGTACCAGTTTTTAACGCGGCCGATGGGTTTGTACAACGGCCAGCGTAGTTTCACGTGTTGTTTCCACTGAAGCTGCGTCACGTGCGTCGACAGCAATCCGCACCAGCGTCGGCAAACGTTCGCCGCCGACCACAGACTGATGTCGTCCAGATGAGAGAAGATGGCGAGCAACACTTCGGGCGGCAATCTGTCCACAAGACCCGGCTCGTTGATGGGCTCGTGCTCGATGTGTCTGTGATTCGACAGTATCTCCAGTCGGTCCGACAAGTTGTATTGCCGCGACGACGACGACGACGACGACGGGTCAATCGAGTCGTCGTGCACCCTGTAGTTCCAATGATACTGCGCGGCGTTCTCGGCACGTTCGTTGGCACTCCGACCGTTGTCGCGAGCCAACGGAAACGCTTCTGGCAAAACGTTCCGCACATCGTCATCCATCGTATCCTGATGCGCGTTACGAGCTTGCGCGTTTTGATCACTGCCGTTGTTGGAGCAATTCTGATGACAGCCACTTCTACTTCGACACATCATACTCTGCAGATCGAGATTCATATCCCGAGGAGCCGCCGACGCGTTCCGCATGAACGCGACTACGCATTTGTCCAGAGAATTGCCACCGGAATTGCTCTGAAGCCCGTGATAGTTGCACTGAGGCGTTACGTTTTGATACTGCGCGCACGATCTGCGTTGAGATACGTTCGCGTTATTGTGACCCGAGGGCAAGTTTTGCTGAGCGTTCGGAACGTTAGGATTGAGACTCTGCGGAGAATTTTGTTGCTGCTGACTGGTTCTTCTTTCGTGATTGTAGAAGAGATCGGTCGGCTCGTCGTTGCCCGAATCTTCGTCGTCTGTTTTCTTTTCAGATACGACAAGAAAATTTATGTTAACAATAAATAACAATTATGTACATGGCGGTTGTAAATTGTTGTAACAATAAATAAATAGCAGAATTTGTGATAAAATTTGACGATACAATTTTATTATACCTCGCTAAAAATTGGAACCTGCAGCAAATCCACATCGTTGGGAAATAAAAATGCGTGACAGGTTGCGCAGACCGGTTCTTCAAAACAGGGACCGTAATAACCGTTGCAGATGTAACAGGCTGTTGTCTGCAAATTGAGTTCACGAATGTAACAATCACGGAATAGACCCAGGAGACTGAAGATAATAAATTTTTACGCGTTGCAAAAATTATTCTAATCATTATAAATAAATTAATAAGACCACGGTGTGTGTTTTACAAGATACAACGGGAGTGGCAACTATAAGATCAGCTTGACAGATGACAACAAATATTGTACATATATAAATTTCCTCAAGTTAATATAAAATTCTTGTTTCTTTTTGCAAGAAATGTGCATAAACAATGCGTATCTCTCTCTCTCTCTCTACGTGAGAAATCGCGGACGACGACGATTGGTTGAGGTGCAACAATATCGTTACATGATCTGAAACGAACGAGAACCGAGAAATAGAAATCGTCAAACTTACGGAAAACTGAAATTCCGGACATGGAATGTATTCGACCGATTCGGCGAACTCGTCGTCCAAATTCAGGTTGAAGCTGAAATCTCCATTTTCATTTATTTTGTCGCTATTGCCGTTTTGCGAGCAGTCAACTATCTTGTCGCCAGCCATTTTGCATCAAGCTGCGGGCACAGACGGCGGAGAGGACTAAAGAGCGGACTCACTTGTCTCGGGGTGGTTGCCAATGCGCACCACCTATGAACGTTGAGCTGGCTTAAGGCCTGTGTCACACTGCGGATTGGGATTGGAGATTGGATTGGAAATTTGACCAATCAGAAGAGAAACAAACCCAATCCTAAGTTTGCTGATCCTTCGCTCTGATTGGCCAATCTCAATCCCAATCCGTGGTGTGACGTAGGGTGCGTTCAGACAACTCGACGGTTGCACAACGGTTGAGAGATAATCACTTCTGATTGGATCATACTTTTGGAACCGCATCAGATTTTGAAAATAGTCCTATCATAAGTGACGATCTCTCAACCGTTGAGTTGTCTGAACGCACCCATAGGTTCTATATAGGCCCATGTGGTGCGCGCTCTCAATCTTCTCTCCATAGTTCCAGTTTTGTATGTTGTGCTCATGTAGGAAAGTGGTGTTGCATCAGCCGTACCGGTTGAATGTGCGTAGTTACGCTTAGATATTTTTGGACAATTTACGGTGTTTTTACACCGACTTCTTCAGTTTATCAGTGTTTTAACGAACATACAACTCCGTGGCTTGTACCCAAACCACGGTTTAGGACTTGTGTTACGATTCCTATAGACTTAGAATGGCGTATGGACTATCTTGAAACGGTCCTTTGAGCCATATATGCACCAAACCAAACCGTGCTCATGTAGGACGTGTACGTCTAAAGGTTAGAATTTCATGTATATGTGTTGTTCCAGAGACGACGACGTGTGTCCAAGAGTAGAAAGATTTAAAGAGCAGAGCGAGGGTATTTTATGCTCACGAGTGTTGTGAATCGCCTCGCATCGCCAACATGAGCCGCAGAAGAGCGCACGAGGAGGACGATGGCTACGGTAACTATCGACAAAATTCTGGCAAAAGATCGATTCGAATTGTCTGAGAATTGCAAATCGTTTGTTTGTTACATATTTTTTTTTTTTTACGCTTGTTACATATCTTCACCTTCTCCAGAACGAACGTACAAGAAACGTCGAAGGGTGTCCGAGAATCAGGAAATCGAGGATCGCCTCGAGGTTCTCATTCTGCGAGTTGGCGAAAAATCTACGTCGTCTCTGGAAAGCAATCTCGAGGGTCTGGCTTCCGTGCTGGAAGCCGATCTTGGATTGTTCCGGGGCAAGATCCTTCGCATTCTGACGGATTGCGCCATCAAGATGCCCGAGAAGTGCACAATCTACACAACTCTCGTCGGATTGTTGAACGCGAAGAACTTCAACTTTGGCGGCGAGTTTGTCGATTACATGGTGAAAAATTTTAAGGATTCATTGAAAGCGTGCAAGTGGGACACGGCCAGATATTCTCTCAGATTTCTGGCCGATTTGGTCAACTGTCACGTATTGTCTTGCGGCTCGCTTATGCAACTGTTCGACAATATGCTGGACGCCGCGAACGAGGACGGTGTGCCGCAAGTCAGACGCGACTGGTGCGTAACGCGCGCTCTTCTTTTTTCCCCACGGAAAAATTGTTACACGATTACGTAAAAAAATATAAATAAATTACTCAATAATCGTTTAGATAATTAATTATTTACAGGTATGTTTACGCCGTTCTGTCAACACTGCCGTGGGTTGGGAGAGAATTGTACGAGAAGAAGGAACAGGAACTAGATCACTTAATGGTTACGATAGAAGTATTTTTGAACAAACGCAACAAGAAGCATCAACCCGCGTTGAGGGTCTGGTCGAGCGACACGCCCCATCCGCAGGAGGAATATCTAGACTGCTTGTGGGCCCAAGTGCGCAAATTGCGCCAAGATAACTGGGCGGAAAAGCATATTCCGCGACCGTATCTCGCGTTCGATTCGATTCTGTGCGAGGCGTTGCAACACAATCTGCCACCTCTGATGCCGCCCCCGCATCACGAGTCTTATTCTTACCCGTTGCCAACCGTTGTATTTCGTATGTTCGATTACACCGATTGTCCGGCCGAAGGTCCGTTGCTTCCAGGGAGCCACGCAATCGAGAGATTCCTGATCGAGGAGCACTTGCGTCAAATCATCAACAACTACTTCTTCGAGAGAAAGGATTGGTAATTTTTTTTTCACCTCTCCCCCGGCGTTTGCAAAAGATTTTTTTTTTTTTTTTTACAATTGTTCACGTTTGCGAGTTACAGCAATGTGATGTAAAGAATGTGTGTTCTATCGCAGCGCTGTGCAGCTACTGAACTTCCCGTTCAAGGCCAAGATCCCTTTGGATTACTGCATAGTCGAGGTGATCTTCGGCGAATTGTTCAGACTGCCGACTCCGAAGCATCTCGAGATCTGTTACGGCTCCATTCTGATAGAACTTTGCAAGTTGCAACCTTCAACTATGCCGCAGGTTCGGAGAGAACATACCAGAGAGAGATACCGTATCGTTGCGCTTGACAATTAAAGAATCTTTAAATTAATCCAATTATTGCGTACAGGTTCTGGCACAAGCAACGGAGATTCTGTTTCGTCGCATAGACAGCATGGCGGCCACCGCTTTCGATCGTTTCGTATGGTGGTTCGCGTATCATCTGAGCAACTTTCAGTTCCGTTGGTCGTGGGAGGACTGGGACTCGTGTCTGCAACGAGATTCCGAACACCCGAGACCCAAATTTATCAGAGAGGTTTTGCTTAAATCGTTGAGGTCAGTAGTAGTTGTTCTACAAAATCTTGTTCGCGCGGAACCGGTTGATGTCGAAGAGCGCCTTGGTCGTTAAAGATAAAATTACAACAAAAATATATTCTTTACGTTTCTAGACTGTCGTATTTTCAAAGGATTCGAGACATGATGCCGGATACTTATGTAGACCTACTTCCGGCGCCTCCCGAGCCAGTGTACAAATACACATCCGAGGGTGCTAGTAAGTATAAACACGATCAAACACCAAAAACAGGTTCCAAGTGTTAAATTGTAAGTTGAGATGTCTTATCTGGCGTGTGTTCTTCGAGGTTCGCTTCCTGGCACATCCGTGGCGCACGAACTCGTAATGTCGATCAGACGTAAGTGCACTCCGGAAGAAGTGCTCAACGTATTGAACACATTGCCGGGTCCAAGGGAGAACGAAGAGGCGAACAATTACAATCCTCTGAAAATCGACGTCTTTGTGCAAACCTTGTTGAATCTTGGCTCGAAGAGTTTCAGTCACAGTTTCGCGGCCATAGTTAAGTTTCATTACGTTTTCAAGGTGAGACCTTAATAATTGTACACACACGTTGTTGCGCTCGCAACTCGAAAACAAACGTTTTCCGCACGTTTATATATATATAAATTTTGTGTGTTCGCAGGTTCTTGCTGAAACGGAAGAGGCGCAGATATGCATATTGAGAAACATGTACGCGTTGTGGAAGAATCACTATCAAATGATGGTGGTGCTGACGGACAAGTTCCTGAAGACTGGCATTATCGAGTGTAGCGCGATTGCCAACTGGATATTTTCCAAAGAAATGGCATCGGAGTTCACGAAGTCAGTTTGTTTTGTCGGTTCTATCATCTCGCTCGCTGGAGCTTTTGTCTCGTTTTGTTCAGAATATCAGCTTGATGATGTTGTACACTACCAGGAAAGGTAGCCGCTTACTCGTGATGCAATTTTGATTTTTTTTTTTTTTTGGTTTTCAGATTGTACATCTGGGAAATATTACATCTGACGATACGCAAGATGAACAAACACGTGACGAAACTTAGCACGGAATTGTCCGAGGCCAGAGAGAAACTTAGACGAGCGGAGAGTAGATCGGGCACGTCTTCGGACGAGGAGGACAACAACAAGGATAAGAGGGAAAGGCCGTCGGAAGACGTGGTGGAGCGGATGGAGGAGAAATTGGAAGCCGCCCAATCTGATCAAAAAAATCTGTTTCTGATTATATTCCAGGTAGAAACTTTTCTTTTCGTTCAAGATAAATTGCATATTTTTTTTTGTTATACAACGCAGAATTTTCAAAGACTTCATCTTGCACACACGTGGGATTCGCATTGTTTTATTGTGTTAATCTGGTTTTTTCTGACACACACAGCGGTTTATAATGATTCTTTCTGAACATTTGGTTCGCTGCGATACCGATGGAATTGACTACAACACGCATTGGTACAAGTGGACCATAGGAAGACTGCAACAAGTGTTTTTATCCGTGAGTGATACTTCACCGAGAGATATATATACATTCTACTCTTACGTGATTTCACTTTTTATTAAAAATGTCTAATTTGTGTGTGTTCGCAGCATCAAGAACAAGTACAAAAATATTCCTCGACGTTGGAGACTTTGCTCTTCACTCCGGACTTGGACCCTCACATTTTGGACGTGTTCCATCAGTTCGTGTCGTTACGAGCGTGAAATTTGTGTAGATTTAAAAGAATACAATTCACACTTATTTTATTATCTCCAATTACATTCATCACATAAGAATTATAAACTACGACTACACATAGATCGCATCCTTTTGGTGAAAATACTTCGTATTTTTAAAAACGACACAAAATACGTTTTTGCTCGGTTCACGTCAGGCAAAAAAAACTTTTGTGCTGTGTTAAACAATAAAAAGTTTTCAACTTCCTTCTCGATCGAAATATCATGCGAAATATGTAAAAAATATATTCTGTTTAAATATATATATATATATATATATACACACGCACTTTGTATTTAAATAATTTTTTGTGTCTCTGGATTTTTGTATCATGGCTCACGTTTTACGCATATCCCAATACTTTGTACTTTTATTTTTTATTACGTTTAATTTTTTCATCATGTATCGCCCAATTGTCGCACGAAAACAACGCGATCAAATCACGCACTGTGTGTAAATTTAATCTTATATTAAAAAAGGCAAAGATCGAGAGAGTAAATAATGAAAAGGGATTTTGAGACAGTTCGTTGTATATGTAGAGAAAATTAAAAACGCGTAACTAAAGTCACAGGAAAGAGTAGAAAAACAACACGTGAAAATAAACGTGACTGAAATTTATATTATATATAACATTAAATAATACATATTATACATATAATTTATTATATATTTATAATATTATACTTTATATTGTATTATATGTATTATATACATACTACAGTAATGTCACTGACCTCGGCCGCGCGGCCTTGGCGGGGTCATTGACCTCGGCCGCGCGGCCTTGGTGGGGGGGGAGGGGTCAATGACCTCGGTCGCGTGACTGCGGTGGAGTCACTGACCTCGGCCGCGCGGCCTTGGTGGGGGGGGAGGTCACTGACCGCGGGCGCGCGGCCTTGGCGGGGCATTGACCTCGGCCGCGCGGCCTTGGTGGGGGGAGGGGTCAATGACCTCGGTCACGCGACTGCGGTGGAGTCACTGACCTCGGCCGCGCGACCACGGCGGTGTTACTGACTTCGGTCACGTGATTACGGTATATATATATATACACATGTATGCGTAAGTGTGTATTATATATAGATATAGAATATTACATATAATATATATAATATTCTCTTTTTTACCCTTTTCCCTGTCACGTGTTGTTTTTCCACTTCTCTCTCTCTCATTATTTTTTGAGTTTGATTTTCATGCGTTATTTCTGACATTTCTCATATGTGTATTATATATGGTTTATAAGACGTATATATACTATCTGTCATCGCGGTGACAGGTTGTGTTCACTGACAACACGTTGAATAAAAATTAACAATAGCGCGCGCCTGTGTTGTGCTAGTTTTTGTCGAAATTGTGTGTGCGAGCGATTCTTCAATTCGTTCAACCATTTGAATTTTTTAAATCAAAACCCGGTCGAGAACGCCAGTTCGGCGCACGCGCGAACGTGAAGACATCTGCCGAATAAAACCGGAAACGCGCAAGAAAAATTCGAGAGTCAAGACTCGGAGCCTCGAGCCCAAATCAGCCAATCGCGGCAGGTCTCTCAGATCTTGCCGCCTAAAATTTCTCAATGAGAATTACGGCACGAAGAAATTCTCATGTGCTCCCGACTTAACAACATCAAGACTATTCCTGTCTGAGTTGTGCACGCGACTCGTGCCCGATAACTGGCTTCGTTAAAATGTCTCTGTTGTAAGTTGATCGTACAAATTGTGGACACAAATCGCAACACACGATCGTACACAAAAAACAGAAGTTTCTCACCGAAAAGGATTTTCTCCCATATCTCGCGTGTCGAATCGTCGAAGTAAGTCGATCTCGTTTTGCGCTGATAAAACACGATTTTTCTTTCTCACGCATTTATTTTGTTTCCGCTTTCCGTGTGTGTTTTATTGGATATATAGCTGTTTTGGCGATATTGAATGCGGATGTTGCAAATTTAATATACAATATTGTCACGATGCGACAAAACCAACTCCCGCGACGCACAGTTGCATTTAGACGCGATTTCGAGAGAGAATGCATCATTTTTTTTCCACACAACTCACATGTTTGCTCGTTGTGTTTACATACACAAATCTAGGAGTATTGTTTTTTTTTTTTTTTTTTTAATATTTTAAAGTAACACGTTGGTGAGAAATAAATGGACGCACGTGCATTGGCTCTGCTTGAATGGCAAAACGTCAGCTTCTGCTCCAAGCTAAAACTTTAAATTGAACAAAACAGACTGCGACATGCGAAGCTTTTAGTGGGAACAGTAACGTGATTACTTACTTTAATTGTTGTAGCAATCAGAGATATATATACACATGAGATTGGCTGGTGTCATTCCACAAACAGTAATTAAATACTAATTAACTTTGTACGCGCTTTGTACTTATGTTGTTGTGAATTTTATTTGTATCTGCTCCTTGTTTGCGCACTTTAGGTAAGTTCTTGAAAAGAATGCTTGAACTTAGCACACAAGTTTTAAGCACGAATTATTAAAAAGTACAATTGCTTTGTCGATAAAAACGTGTTGTAAAAAAGAACATTGTTAAAAGCAGGATGAGTGCCAGATTGCTAAAAGATCCCGCTACCGCGTCCAGTCGTATATTTGTGGGTCACTTGCAAACTGACGACGTTACGAAGCTGGAACTTGAGGAACATTTCTCGAAATACGGCAATGTCATAGCGTCTATAATAAACAGAGGCTTTGGATTCGTTCAGTTTGAGGACGAGCACGCCGCTCAGAACGCCATTAAGAATGAAGACGGTGCAATGTTCAAAGGCAGACGTATAGGTAAATTGTTTTTTTAAAAGAAATTTAATTTCAAGCGCGCGCCTTGACAATGTTGTGAGATATCGCGATTAATTGAAAAATTCGAATCTCACAGATGTGAGACCTGCGAAGAAAGACAACCAGTCCAACAGTGGGAACGCGGGCAACGCGAGTATGAAACAAATGAGCGGACCGAACAATCAGTTTAATCCGACAAATGTTCCGTTCAGCAACACAAGTGACACGTTCGGTGGAAATAAAGGAAACTTTTCGAGCGGAAATGCAAGTTTCAACATGAATCAAGATTTTGGAAACAACGACAACTTCGGTAACAACCAGCTAAAGGACATGAATCCCCAGACCAAGAGCGGCGGAAACTTTGACGATGGGAATCAACTTGGAAGTGAGCAGTTTAATGGGAAACAAAATAATAATAATAATAATAATAATAACCACAACAACGGGAACGATCATTTTAATAATCCCATGCAACCTCGCAATCAATTTAATTTAGGTAATTTAAATCGTGGAAACGATCAGTTTGCCGTTGGTCATCAAAACAGAGGTCCTCCAAACAATCAGTTTGGAAATAACAATCAGTTAGGAAATCAGAACAGACTCGGAGGAGGAGGGAATCAGAATCGAAATCAAAATAACGCGGGGAATAACAATCAAAATCAAAATAGCGGAGCACCCGGCGCCCAGGGTGGTGGCGGCGGTCCTCCCCACCGAACAAGAGGAAGCAGAGGTGGTCGAAATAGAAATAAGAACAACCAAAACAATCAAAACATGAACAACAACAATTTCAGAGATCGTAGTCCCATTAACAGAAATAATCGCATAGAAGACAAGGTGAATCCCAGAGACTGGGAACTCAAGCAGGGTGATAGTAGATTGCGTGGCAACACATTCGCTAGAGATTCGTTCGGCGACAGCGGGAATCGTTTCGACGACTTCAAAGCTTCCACCACCAGAGACACCAACACGAGTTTCGGGTAAAGGATGTGTTTATTACACAGTTACCCCTTAATTAAATTATTATTTAAATTATTTGCAAAATCCTTTGATTCTTTTTTTTCTTTTTTGGGTTTGTTTTTTGACGATTTAAATTTGTGTGCTTTGCAGAAACGCCAGCGCAACGTCCGATTACCTTGGGGCTGCAGCTGAGAAGAACGACTGTGAAATCATAGTTGTCAACAAAGCGTTAACGTAAGACTAACGTCAATTCTTGATCGTTAAATTAATATAAAATGTTGGATGATGCGATCGCGACTCATCATTGTCGATTTAAACAGGAAATACGCGGAAGAGATTGAGTTGCGGTTGAAACAGATAGGTCTGTTGGTGGATCTGCTCTTTCCAAATGAGGACGTTCCTTTGGGTCGCGTATTGGGAAATATCGCGAGCCGTGGCTGTTTGTACGCCGTGGTTGTTACGCCGATCAATCACGAACATCATTCCCTGACACTGAACATCTTGCACGGTTTGCCACAAGGTGAATATATCGTCGGCATGCGGCATGTTAAACGTTACGTCATAAGTCTAACAAAAAAGAAAAATAAATAAATTTATTTATTTATTTCTCTCTCATTTTTCTTCTTGTGTGTTGCAGAACACAGAAACATGCCCGTTGAAGACGCCATAAATTTGATTTCCCGAGACTTCGCGAACTACAAAGCGGGGGGCAGTCGTTCCATTCCTCTTAACACACCTCTGGCGAACGAGCGCCATCCGGACGCCATACAAGTTCTGTTAAATATATTGGCCGACAATCATCAGCTCACGGTTCTGCAATACGACCGTGTGATCAAGTACCTCGAGATGAGACGTGAGGAACAAGTCCAGGTCGAATTGGGCGACGTCAAGGATTTGCCGGTAACGACGCCGCTCGCGCCGCCCAACGATCCGAAACAGGCCGAGTTGCAGACGAGGATATTGAATATTTTGAACAACAGCAAAACGAGCTCGTCGGCAACGTCAGATCCGAGCCCCGTCCCACCACCGGTCTCAGCGCCAGCTCCTGTACCTCCGGCTACTTGGGGAACTGGTAAATATTTCGAGAATTGTAAAAATTTATTTGAAAACTTTCAAGCGTTAAATATAAATCGTTCTCAGAGTCAAACATTTTGGAAAAACGCAAATTTTCACTAATGTAACAAAAATTTGTAAATTGTGTATAAACAATTTTCACTAATGTAAAAAGAAAAAAAAGAGAAAAAAAATACGGTAAACCTAAATTGCTTTAGTTAGTAGTGGACTTTATGAAATCTTATGCTTCAAAACACACAGCATCGAGCACTGCCACGACGTCGTCGATGACGAATTCCACAACGGGGGTATCGCCGTCGCCTCTTCTGAACGATCCCACGGTACAAAAAGCCCTCGACAGTCTGTTGCAAGGGAATCTGTTGAAAAGTATTGGCGATCAACAACAGCCGGCCCCGGGCGGAGCGCAGCCGTTGTTCGCCGCTTTTCCGAACATCGGTAGATTTTAATTTCGCGCGGAAATAAAATTTATCGACGTTTTTTACGACGTCTCATCTCATTTGTAAGATTTAGAATATTTGATACTCTGTTCTTCTCGCACTTACTAAAGAAGCCGAATCCTGCCCTCCTCCGGGCAGGCAGGAAAGAGACAAAAAGCGCAGCGATAATATTTTAGTACCATTGTATATTAATCGTGTAATTGTATTATATATATAAATGTCATTGAATTAAAAAAAACATTGCAGTTAGTGAGAGTTCAGACAAAAAAAAAAAAGAAACAAAAAAGAAAAAAAAAAAAAGAAAAAAATGTAGCACAATTACATTTGTTAAATTTACGCGATTACTGTTAACGCCTATGGTTTATGGTAGTTAGATGTATTTATAAGTAGTATTATAAAATACACGCAAACACACACACACACACACACATATACACACGGTATATGTTTAAGGTATATCTTTTAATAAATATTGTACCACAACAACAGAGAGAAGCCTGAGAGAGCGGTCATGATGGGTGGATTTTGCGCGTTCCCGCTCCGCGAGCGCCGCGATTTGCGCCGTTTTTTTTTGCGGAACACGAGCCAACTCGAGCGGTGAAGAAAAAAATGTTAAATTTTTTTTCTCTCGATTAATTTGGTTCTTTTCCGCGTTTTTTTTTTTTTTTTTTTTTAACACGCTCGATACGTTCGAGAATCAAACCGATCATCGCGGGGATCGGGTGACTGAGTGTTGGGGATGAAAGATACAAAAGGAGAAACATGGTAAAATAAATCCTTTTTGTTTGAAGAAAATTGTTTTCTCTTTTTTTTTTTTTTTAACTAGAAAATTTTTTATAACTTACCTTTTGTTTTTAACGTAACGTAACACGTATAAATTTTTCTATCTTAGTTTTCGTTATTTGTACATGTTTCATCATTTTGCGCTTTTCGTTTTTGTCTCTGTATCGTCGTCACCGTCTTTGCTCGCGGCGTCGTCGGCAATTTGTTTCTCGGATTCCACGGACTCGGACTTGGGCAACTTCGGCGGTTGATGTCGCGCCGTTTTTTTCGGCGGTATCAAAGCCGCAATGGCGTATCTACCCTCCTCGGTGAGGAAATTGAACACGCTACACGCCTTGTGCACGTCGAGTATCTCCGCCGAGACGTCGAGCTTCCGCACGAGTTCCCGGAGATGTCTGAGAAATGCGAAATCGTACTTTTCGTCCAGTCCGATGATCAGGATATCGGGCCTGGGTTCCAGAACGGTCAACAGCGACAACGACGCCTCGTTTATGTGCTTGCCGGACTTGATGTTCCAGGAGATCGCGTGCCTAGGAAAGAGCATCGTCGGCCCAATCACCTTCGTGCCGGTGTTCAACGTGAATCCCAACTTGAGAAAAGATAAAAACATCTCGTTGTAAAATCTTGTGACCGATGAAAAGAGATGACGAATCCTCAACTCAAGAGGATCAATTTTTAATCCCAATCCTGACTGCTCTTTTGACAATCCCAAGAGGTAACTTTCTTCGCTTTAAAATAGTCAAAAAATCTGGCATCTTTCTTTTAAAATGTCTATTGGGCTTATTGAATAAAACAGTCTTGGATAGATCTAATGATTTTTCAAAAAGAGTCTTGTGAAAGATACTGGACAAAAAAAAGACCCAGAAGGTTCAGAATTAGGATCAATGACAATTCAATGTTGCGCATAGGTTTCCGACAACACTTACCTCGTTGCAACCAGTTACTATGATCTTGGAAGCCTCAACTTCTTTACTGACGAACGAGATAGTAGTTTTACCAGGACCGTCATACGCACTTGCTCTACCTATGCATGTAGTGTGAACGGTTCTACAAAAACAAAAAATGAGAGAATCCGTGAACTTCGCCAACATTTGCGCGAGAGAAATCGCGAAGAGTTTTGTCAACAAGAAAGAACTATTTTTTGCCTTGAGATGGATTTTGTTTGTTACGTAAAATTCTAAGTTCTAATTCTAGAAGACCCTACGGGGTCTCTCTCTTGTCCAGCGTTTCTTTCGAAACTTTGTATTTGAAAATTCATTAAAACACCATTAGTGGTAAAACTGTTTTCTGTCATCATCAGTCTCGTTAATTTGTTTGCAGTAATTCGACAACAATTGACAACAATCATCCGCCGGTGTTTCGCGAGCTTCATCTTGTTTGTCACGTTACCTGCCAATTCGCAACACTTGTCTCAGCTGACAAAACACGCCGGTCGCGTTCATTATCGCGGCGTTACAACCTCCTTCGCAATGAACAAACAATGGGGTTCAATGTAACATCATCTCTTGTGGAACAAGGCAACGCGTCGCTCCTTACAGGTTAAGACTCGTACGAATTTCCCGCACGTCTACAATCCGCAACTCCAACGTTCACAGTCGGTCGGAGAGCCGAGTCTCCGCCAATCGCGAGTTCTGTTCTAAAAATCGCACATACATGCGCAGCGACACTTGGGCTCATCAACCAATTAAAAACTACAACAACAATTTTTTGTTCTCGGAATAGGATTGTAACCAATGGAACCTAATTTTCGTCGCAAGAAGAAGCGACAACCAATTTCCTCCGATTTTTCGTTTCAATCAGAAAGTTACAAGTCTTGAGTTCGGACTGGAAAGAAATAGATTTCAAGAATTTCTTGGCTTTTTTCAGGAAACTGTCGCCAAAAGGTATCAGGAAAACATGACCGGCAAAGAATAAAGATGTCACTTCTTTGTCGCTTATGTTCTCCCTATGACTTTTTCTCAGAATTGTCGGCAATCTCTCATGAGAATTTGGAAAAAATTGTATCAGGAGAACGTGGACCAGCAAGGAGGTGGCGATTTCGTTCCGTCCACTTGGTACAGACCGCGGACTGTCAGATGCGATGATAATAAGTTTTACCGCAACCTGCTGTGATTGAAAAATTATATCACACATTTGCAAGAGCGACAAGTAGTCGTTCCAATCGTACAAGGTACGTGATTTTGCTTCAAGAATAATTGTTGAACAAGATTTTTGACTTTTACTCTCGAAGACTGAATGTTGATACGCTATTCGCTTTGTAATGTTCCTCAGGTTGCGGTAGCTGCTGAACAAGTCACACGTCAGCGAACGCGCGCCACGCGAAATGCGACCGGCAAGAGTCTGCGTGGAAACAACATTGCTCCGTTTCTCGAACAATGTTCGACGAAGCGAAGCCGAGTCAAGTTTTTCCTCGTTCTTCCGAAAGAATTCAACGAGAAGAAACCCGACGACTCGCTCTCTCGGTGGACGGGGAGGATTCTCGATTCGAAATCGCGCGTCACGGCCGACGTCGGACGCCCCTCTCTTTCTTTCTCTCTCTCTTCCCGTTTTATTTGGTATATTTTTAGCAATATAGCGTATAAATACTCTATCAGGTGGAGATGCGTTATTTTCAATGTAACACCGATGAGCGTGGATTGCGTAAAAAAAATGAACAAAGGTTGCTGGAAGTTCGACGAGGAGGAGAAAGGTGAGATTTCCACGTTCCCTCTTCTTGTTCTCTCTCTCTCTCTCCCCGTCCCTCTCCCTTTTTTCTCCCGTAGTCTTCCCGTGAAAAAGGGCGTTTGTCCACCGTGTGATTTTACGCGCCCGGGAACGCGCCGACACTTTCTCCCGACGTCGAATTTCGGATATGTTACATCTCAACTGCGCGTCAATTCCGCATCTCAAGATCAAACGATCCCTCGTGTCTCGCGAAAACGCATACACACACTCGCAGGCACACGTGACATTTCTTTGTAATAATACAAATTTTTTGCTTCGTTGTGACGTAAAAAAAAAGAAACAATTTATCTGTGCGTCACGCAGAAAATGCCGGCGCACGAGGAGGAGGTGACTCGAGGAGAGACAAGATCGATGAAAACCTCAGGTACCGACGGCCGCAATCGCGCGGGAAATAAGAGATTGTTTAATTGATCGCATTAATTATGTATCGTCTAAAAATATAATTCGCATTCAAGGTGGCCATCACATGACAGTGTCAAAAATAGACGCGCGTTGAAAAAAACACAAGGAGAAACACCATGCGGCCGTTGGTGCCAGAATAAAAAAAGATAGAGACCGTAGATCGTGTGCGAGGAATAAAAAAATAAAAAAAAACCGAGTGTGTTATCTTCCCAAGCCTTGTACATAGATCTGGAGGAGGAGGACACGGAGGAGGATAAGATGTGCAAGGAGTACAGCGCCTGGGATCGGATTCCCGACATCCTGCTTGAGGAGATCTTCTCGTATCTGACCATTCGCGAGCGTTACTACGCGTCCCTGGTTTGCCGCTCGTGGTATCGGGCCTTCAAGCTGCAGAACGTCTGGTCCACGTTCACTCTGGAGGACACCACTCTCACGCGGGGTAAATTCAATTACTACAGCGGCTGGCAACACGTTCTGGATCACATCAGAACGTCCACGTGTTTGAACAAAGTCGGCAGGAACTTTCGCGCTCTCGTGTTCGAGCCCATGATGAACTTCTACAATCTCTACGAGTTCATGAACATGATATCCTGGTACGCCGAGCGACAGGGCTCGGACAACACGTCTGTGCCCGGTGTGGGTAACTACATTCGCAGACTCAAGTTCACGTTCCCGTGTAACATGGCCAATAGAGACGATCCCGATCGAATCCGGGTGTTTGGCACCGGAGGGAAGCTGCTCGAAGCGCTCAAGAGACTCATGAGAAATCTACAGAGTCTCAGGTACCTGGAACTGATAGATCTGATGCTCGAGAGCAACGAGGCTTTGCACCTGATGGACGACATTTGCGTGAATTGCACTCAGACATTGTCGAAGCTCGTGCTGATTAACACCACGCGTTACAATTGTCCGTTGTTGCACGTAGGAGTGTTCATTAACTTGAATGTGAGTACGTTGTCCATGTTGTGAATGTTCCAATCGTTACGATGCGCGTTTCATTTATATATGCAGCAACTTGTGTCTTTTTTTCAGGTTTTAGTTATCAGTCCCCAAAACTTGCACGAGGACGTGATAGAACTTCTAGGTTACACCAAGTTAAGACATCTTCACATTTTACAAAACCGATACAGTCCAAAAGACACCACCATAAGACTGGTAATGTGTTACTCCGTTGTGCGACGATATGTTTCGTTCTTGCAACGAGATGTGTTTAAATCACAGGAGTGTTTGATTCACAGCCAAAACGATCGTCCTGGGTGAAGATGAGAAAGAACAATCCTCAGTTAAGGGTGCACTTTGAGATAGAAAGTCACAAGACCACAGATCTTCTCTTGCCCATCGACATATTGGAGCACAGTGCCATACCGTGTCACAGCATAGTGCTGGATAATCCGAACACGGAAGTTAGTGAAGAATGAATGCGCGCATAGTCGAGTTTATTCAGTCTTTGTCGCGATCAAACGACTTTTTCTCAAAGTCTCCGTTATTTCTGATTCGCAGATTTCACCGTCCACGATACTCACTCACGGGGCGCTCTTCCACTCGACGATACGAGTGTACGCTTTCAAAGGTTTGACGAGATTTTACATGAACAGAAGCTTCAACGAGAGATTGGACGACACTCTCGTACAATTCTGCCGAATGTGCCCGAATCTGCATACACTGGTAGCATATTGTCTTTGAAATCGACATGTGACACATAGCTTTCCTAAAACATTGGTGTTTAACAAAATGCAACTTTAATGACGCGTGCTGGCATGTTCTCACTTATTAAGAAAAATCTTTCTCGCTATGGTGTGGAGCCGTAAGTTTCCTCTAACTTCTTTTTTTTTTCTTTTAACGCTACACACGCTAAATATCGCGACTACAGCTAGTTGAGTTTTAATTTTAACTTTGTTGAATCCAAACGGACCGACGATCTCCAACTCTCGGGGATAGAGAGTTCTCGTAATTTTTGTAATTTGTTTTCTTTCTAAATACAAATTTTATATTATTCTCGACGTTCGAACGGGGTTGCAAACTGTCTAGCTTCTTTTCTTCTAATTTCAATCGCTAATTATCGAGATAATTAACGCTTGCCGCTTTTCGTTCCCGTTTCTTCGACGTTGATGATGGGCATTTATCTTCGTTCGCAGATGATCCGTGACAAAATATCGACGGCAACGATCTTACACATCGTCTCCGTCGCGAATCATCTGCGCTGTCTGTACGTGCGGCGAAACGTGATTCTGAAGAGATGCGACGAGGCTTGGTCGAGGATCCTGGACTGGCCGCCCGATTATTACCGTTGGATCAAGGCGAACAGTCGCAGTTACGAGGACACGGAGAAGGAAGTGTCGCGAAAACTCGGTTATCGATGGCACATGCTGTCCGAGAAAGAGTTCAAGGCGCAAACGGTCAATTTGCACATATAAAAATAAAAAGCTCGTTGCTTTCGCAAACAAAATCGCAATCACCGCTCATCACCGCGCAAAACTAAAAGAGAGCTCGCTCGTATTCTCAGAATCTTCAAGTATTTTTATAAACAAAGTCAATCTTAATTTAATCGTTATTTATAATATATATATAGATCACCTCTACGACTGTGTATTGCTTCTAAAAAAAAAAAAAAAGAAGTGTTAGCAATAATCCGTGTGATCGCAATAACATGTTTTATCGCAATTGTCAACCGCGTCGTTAATTAGAACGTATCCGTGGGGAGGGGGAGGGGGGAAGAAGGGGAGCGAAATGTGTACTTAAATGTGTAAAATCAAAATGACTGTGATCGTTTTTAATGACAAAAAGAAACTAGCGAGATACGTTGGACTGTTTTGTAAAACGAACTGTTTTTTTTTTTTTTGGCGTGTCAAAGCGCACGCGCGGAAATAAAAAAAAAAACCGTACAACAGCGAAACTCTCACGTGTTGTTGTGATTTTCTCGTTGTAGTTTATTTCCAATACATAATTGCAACTTTTACACACAATATTATGTACATCGATAATAATTTCATGTGACTTGTGTATTTTTTTTTTTTTTTTTCTTACACGCATCGTCGCTATCAATATGCCAAATAATTTCGATAAAGTGTGTGTAATAAGAACTGCTAGAGTGTGTCGAAGTCATAATTGGGGGGGAGGGGGGAGGGGATAATATCTTCGAAGACATAACGCCGTGGATTATTTTGCTAAAATTCAACACACACGCTAAAATTATCTAATCGAAAGAAGCAACAATGATGAAACAACAACAATTGCAAGTTGATTTAATTAATTAGATAATCGAAAACGGATTACGTATATATCGAAATAATTTACACGTAAAATGCAAGTGTGCTCGACTGTTTCTGCTAGCTTATCTCACTCTGTACATTATATCGTTGGACTTCTATGGATATATTATATATACACGCACATATGGACTTCGTTAAATATCGCGAAAGAAAACGACGAGGTATCGAATATATCTGTGAAGAAAAATTTTGAAAAGGCGGGACATATGTATATATGCATAATTTGAAACACGCACAAAATTTTGAGACTCGACGAGGTAATTTGCTCTATTAAATATATACGTATTATATATATAATATATATATATATATATTATATATATATATGTATACATATATATATATAGTAAAATAAATTAAAAAAAAAATCAAAAAAATTATGTACTCTTGTATATTGTATATATTAAAATCGGCCAGCCAGTGTAGAGCAGAAGTGCGATTTACGGTGCCATAGCTGCGGATCTCTTGTCGCGATTCTTATTGCGTTGAATGGTACGTGCTTTGAACGCGGCCGCGTTCATCAGAGTCTGTAACAACAGAAAAAACCAATTGGTAGTTTCGCATCCCGCCAATCAGATTTTTTTTTTCCAAACAAACCCGCAGTGTACTCACTCTTTCCAATTTACTCGTTTTCTGACTATTCGGTATTGGTATGACCTTGTTGCCCAGATGAAAGATCTCGCGCAGCAGTTGGTTCTCGGCAAGATGGATGTTGATACCGGGTCCCAACAATCGACAGCAAACGTTGTACTGAGTTCTCGCGCACCATCCCTCCAAGTACAGAACCTCCTTTCCGAATCTGACGCTCATCTCGGGAACAACGTCTTCTTCGATGTACCGCAGTATGTCTCTGAAATTAGCGCGTTGCTGCTTGCGATCTTTCTTCGCCCGGTACTTGTTCGAATCCGTGGCGAGTTGTCGGAGAATTTCGACGAGATCGAGCGCCCAGTCTTGCTCGTAATCGTACGAGAAGTCGCGGCCGAGCTCGAATATCACCGCTAACGCCTCGCCGGCCGACAAACGTACGTCCAGATGCGGCGACTCCAGCAACTCGCGCAGTCGATTGAGAGAACTGCGGAAGAAGAAGACATTTATACCCCACGCGCGTTGTGTTATTATCCCGTATTTTCCCTTGAATACGGAGACGCGAATACTCACGGCATGTAACTGTTGGTCCTGTCGCTCGCGAGCAAATTGTAGATGTCCGCGGAGGTCATGACCGTCAGAAGCAGCGTCCACGATGAGATAGCCGCCGCGTGCAACGCGGCCACGTCCGTCGATATGTTCGCGATCGCGCCGTTTCCCTTCAGATATGAACCGGAGAAGATGGACGAAAGTAATTGAACAATTTCTATGGTGTCAGTTGCATCATTGCCCGATAAGAACTGATTCATAGCCAGTGCCCAGCAACACTGTGAAATCAAAGTTTCCGTTTTTACTTCAAGATTGATGATGCTGCCACAAATTTATTTGTAAAATAAACAACAAAAGGTGTTGGAGCAAACATGACACGCGGCTGACAATACAAAGCTTTGTTTTTTTTGGATTCGTTTACCTCAGCACGAGCACCGACAGAAGCCGCATTGTCATTGGCGATGAAAATAAGAGTGGACTTCAGGTCGTTGCATATCGTCTCGGCGCTATCGAACGCTCCCAATTGAACGCAGAGCAGAGATCCGAGTCTAGCCGCCGTCGATTGCTCCTCGCCGCGTCCCTTCTTCAATCCGCGCTCGACCGCGTCGGCGATGGTCATTTTTCTATCCTCCACGAAATCGGGAATATACTTGATGGCGAAGATCTTCTCAACGCCGTTGAAACAGATGGTTCTGCCCTTGGAGCTCTTCTGCGTAAGTCCGTCGATCGCCTCCCTCAACTTCTCCTCGAACGCCTCCTGCTGAGCGAGTTCGTCCACCTCGTTGTCATTGGCATCCTCCGGCACGCTGCGATTGTCCGATTGGCCGCTGATATCGCTACAGGCGTCATTGTTGACCGAATCCTCGTCGGATGTAAACTCAACCCTCTTTCCACCTGTTAATATTCGAATCATCATGAGTTATTGCGAAAAGCTCTGCTTACACACGTGCGCGTGTGACTCGTTAATTAACGATCGGCAATAACGAGTTGAAATGTTGTTTTCTCTGGCTTGGTGTTTACAACGAAAAAAACAATAACACAATCAATCTTTTCTCCTTGTTACGTAAAACAAACGTATACAAATTTTGATGAGTTGAACAATTTGAATTTAGATCAGGAACGTGACGCAAACGATAATAAACTTAAGTCAGTGAAAAATAATAACAACACTCCTGGAAGTGAGAATGTCACGGTTACGTAACGTGAAATCTTTACAGCTGTTATGTACCTGTTTGATACACGCGTACGCATTAGACAGGTCCTTCTCATGTCTCAACACAAACAAAATAAATATTAATACGCTGAATTGTTAAATTATTTTCACAGTCAAGTTTTTTTTTTTTTTTTAAAGAACATGCGATTGTAAAGTTTAAAGACGTACGTTTTTTCAAAACCCATTACGCCCAATGATTTTATCATTCTTTGGCGATTTGCAATTTATATTATTATATAAGTGTGTGAGTGTTGAGACTGTTTTATAGAAACATACACCAACTACATATCGCGTCACTCCCTACGTATAATCCCGTAATTCCAAAACGCAAATTTGAGAGGAGAGCAGTTTAAAAGTTTGAAGCTTCATATATGTAGTTTCCCTAGTTAAGGGATCTTTCGGTTTTAAATTTTTACCATACTTGTGAATATTTTTTTTTTAATACTTTGGTGACCACAAAGAACATGACTTTCTGAGTGTCACTATGCACAATAAACTGAAAATCCCATATGTGACACTTATGTAATTATACGTAGGGAGTGACGATATTCAACTTAAAACAAATCTAAAAAACATTTGGCTGACGAAAGTAACAAATGTATTCGCGTGCCAGAGAATTTTAGTGTGTGAAAATAATTTTACACACATGAATAAATATCTGGTAAAAAAACAAACAGATGAAAATATCTAATATCTATTAAACAATTAACAAATAACATCAAATAATCAATATCTATTAAAAATAAAAATAGATATTTATACGCACGTAAATAGATGTAAGAATAATTTATAAATAATCTTACATGTGTAAAATATCTATTTTTTTTTTTTTTATGCCAGATATTTAATTTCTCTCTTAACACAATCCGGTAGATTAATTTTCACGTTCGCACACACAAAACAATTATACGCGCGCACGTGCGTTGGAATTATTTTTATTGAATTCTGTGCTTTTTTTCTTACTCTGTATTATTTTCATTCAATTGAGAGAGATTTTTTCGATCGAATGCAACATACACAAAACAAAATGCAGGTTGCGTAAGATTTCGAACGAGCTAAATATAAAACTTTTATCGAGCGAAAAAAAAAAAAGATTAAAGTTATCTCGCATATTGCAGCTGCATCGTGTGTCCGCGCGAACAAAAACAAAAAAAAACAGCACAAAAGGCGCACGGCCGTTCTTTGCGCACAAATGCGCAATATATGCGAAGTGTCTCAAAGACCCGCGTTAAATTTGCAATTTTTTTTGGATTCTTAATCGCGGAGACGCGAAAAGAAGCTTTTGTTTGCTCAATCGAAGAAGAATCTCCATCGCGCAAACAATATGGAACAAATAAAAAAATTAAAAATAAAAAAAAACTTAACATTTTTTCGCACATATGTAAATTCTTTTGCAAATAAATTAGTCTAGTGTGGTGTCTTCCTTGTTCGGGACAAGTTGAGACAGCTGGAGCAATCGAGACAACACAAAAGAGCAAATTGCGATAAGCGCTGAAAATTGTCGATTGCCACCGATTGCGCAAATTCTTGCGCTCGCGTCGACCTAACCTCGATTTTCCAACGGGGAAAAATGAAAGTAAAAAAAAAAAAAAAAACGCGCCTCAACCTTGACGACTTCGGCTCCGATTGATGGATCTCGGAGCGACGACGACGACGAGTCGTTCGCGCGAATATCATCGGCGATTAATTGAAAAAAGCCATCCATGTGTCATGTCGCGAGAAGCATGAGAGTCACATGGGGGACGCTAGTGTTATTTAGCTTCGTCGTAGCCTCAAAACGCGCCCACGCCATGTTACCCATCCCCCTCGCGGCCAAGGGGATTTCGCGTGCGAAAAATCCGAAATCTCGAGGCGAGGAGGGTAGGGAAATTCACACACACATTGATCCACGTGCGCGAGGTGTGGAAAGCGATACGCAAGCGAGGGTGGAAACAAATAGGATTTCCGTTGCGCACGGGATGAGTCACCGAGAGGATGAGAGAAAACGAACAAAAAAACGGACGCGGAGAAGTCGATAATTTAATAATAAAACGACTGCGTCACGTGGATTGTTCGGATTGCGATTTCCTCTTCCTTTGTTTTCTTTCTTTCTTTTTTTTTTTTTTTTACGAAGGAGAGATGAGAGATCGGTAGGAGATACTGAAAATGTGATATGTACTTAGGATATACACATTGCGAGAAGCTACGTAATGTGTGTGTGTGATGTGATGTACAACTCACCGTACTTTCCTCTTCTGCCCCCTTTGCCTGGCATCTTCCTTTAGCTCGCTTCCCGCACAATTGAAACTAAACAAAATACTTGATCAAGAAGGTAAATATCTCGAACTAGTGTTTTTCTTTCGTATACTGAACACGCCACGTGAATTTTTCGTTGGGAGCAGACGAAAACTCATTAACATGTTGCAAAACCGTTCAGAACATACACGTCGAGACAGCCTACAACGGCGTTCTCAACTGTACTGTGGCTGGCTCCGCCAGAGGCGGGTGCCTCGGCGTTGCCACGATGCCACGCTTTTTTCTACCGCGCATGCGCCAAACGCGACAATCCAACCCCGTACAAACTGGCGATCGGGGCCCCCTTCCTCATGACGTAACATATCGCGTGCTTGCGTCACGAGAAAGAGAGAGTTGTAAGTAAGGCCTGGTTCATGCGAGCAAATAAGGCCTTGTTTTGGCCTTGTTTATGAGGGTAATAACTGTTAATTTGTGCCGGAATTGGTACAAGTTCCAACTATAGGATTTCAATGGGTGCGTTCAGACAACTCAACGGTTCGCACAACGGTTGAGAGATAATCACTTCTGATTGGATCATACTTTTGGAACCGCTGCAGATTTTGAAGAATAGTCCTATTATAAGTGATGATCTCTCAACCGTTGAGTTGTCTGAACGCACCCAATGCTTCTGTTACATTCTGTTATGTTTCTGTTAATAAACAGAAATATTAAAATCTCAGGCCCGCATAAACCAGGCCTAACTCTGATCGTGTAATCGGATCGCTGTATATAATACCAACAGAAAATTCTTCTCACTTACTTTTGTTTTAAAAATCACACACAAAATTATATTACAAACAGTCGTCTTTTTAAAACACCATGGGTGCGTTCAGACAATTCAACGGTTCGCACAACGGTTGAAAGATAATCACTTCTGATTGGATCGTACTTTTGGAACCGCTTGAGATTTTGAAGAACAGTCCTATCATAAGCGATGATCTCTCCTAACCGTTGAGTTGTCTGAACGCACCCCATGTACGTATAATCTTTCGTAACTTCGTTCGGATTCCGTGCGACGTGTAAATCCCGGACTTCCGTGCGTGTGAGAAAAATTACGCAAGCTTCGACCTCTCAGAGAGCGGGGTAGAAAATTTCAAAGACAATTTTTTTTTTTTTTATCCCGGGGGCGATTTCGGCACCACTCCGTTTCTCTTGGTCTCAACTTCGTTGACCGAAGCTGGCGCGCATGTTCGCTTCCAGAGAGAACAATTGGCTCGCACGGCAACGTCGCAATGTCTCTCTCGAGAACGTTTCCCGAAGATTCCCGCAATTCCAAATGCGCAATAAAGAAACCCCTCGGCGCGCGCGAAGCAACGAACCGCCGAGCTCAGTTTCTTGGGCTCTCTGGAAAAAGGAAATGTTTTTTCTTTTTTTTTTTTTGAGCCAAACATATCACGTCGCGCAAAGAGACACGTTATGTTTGCGCAATTTCGTGATTATCGTATTTATTAAATTTAATCGTTTTACAAATTGGCTTTGGTACTTAAACTCTACGCGTTAGACGCCACACAATTCCAAGCAAACAACATTCTGAGCAGTCGTGCGAGCAACAAAGTCGCGTTGCTCGTCACGAGATACAATCGTAAAAAAAAAAAAAAAACTACAGGGTTACAGTTTTACTGTCAATTCCCCGGAGTTTCATCATCCGTAATCGCCAAACGAGCGATAAACTTTGCGTTTGAACTCTCGTTTGAAAATTTATACAAAGCACGCATTTTGTAAATTTGTAATTTTTTTTTACAGGGGCAAGCTTCTTGTCAAATCTGTTCTCTTCTCTCGTAGAGAGAGATCCGCGAGAGATCGCGAGAACAATTACAAATAATTTGTAACGAAACAACGGTTGAGTTCTCGAGAACCGAGAATCGTCGTTGTGTGGAAATGACAACAAAGCGGTTTTTTTATTAGTTTGAAAAAACACCATTTTCAAAAATTCGCGCGACACGTCGCGAAAGCGTAGAGAACATTTTTGCCTAGAACCGCAGCGTATAAAGGTACACCTTGTATAACTTACACATTACGTATCTCCCTTGTCAATTCACGGAAATATCAAGATAATTTTTCACGCATCTCGTTTGTTTGCAAACGTCTGTGTGCGAACGTGTTTAAATTCTTTAACCGGACAATACTGTTTCGTTTCTCCGTTTCACGGGGAATATGCCAGCAAAATAAAAAACGGTTTTCTCACAATATCCAGTCGAACTGTTTTTCTTTTCCCCTCCTTTGAACAGCGAATTAGAATTATGTAAATTGGACACTTTGTATAATCAATATCAAAAAACGTATCGCCGAAAAGATGATTTTTTATTCGCAAAAAACAATAGAAAAAGTTGATCTAAAATCTATTTTTGCGAATATGGTATACGTATAAGAATATACGTATATAAGAAAAATATATTAATTACAATGTGTGTTAAATGGTTTCTCATCAGCTGTTATGCAACAACGGATCGGGGTGCCATCCCATCAGACAGCACCCCCGACAATTATTCTTCAATTTTTCTCAATTATTACTTTCTCCGTCATTTCTATTACGTTCTATACTTATATGCAATACATACAACTAAACAAACCAAAAAAAAAAAATAATATATGTATATAAAACAAATATATATATGCGTATATAAAACATAATATAAATAAAATTCAATCATCCTTGCGTAACGTGGAACTAGCGTATGTTCAAAGTATAACATATTGCTGAAACAACATATGCGACAGCGGTTGCAAAATAAAATCCACTTACATTCTTTTTATAACAATTCTTTGGAAAGAACGTGAGTCAACGTTATTGTACATATTTTTAATTGAACGAATGTCTTCGTATTTTGCCTGAAAAGATTGTGATCTCTTGCCGTCGGTTTTACATAACGGAACGTGTCGCAAGGCTTCAGTGCGTGTGTTTCTTGCCACGTGAACTTGACTTGGTATGAATTTATTAATTTTAGAAAAAAAAAAACTGGACGATTGGAGAACTGACGGCAATTTTTTTTAAGAGAGTGAATCTGACATTTTGAACGTGAGATCGATCGCTCTTGCACCGATTTGTATTATTACAATTGATTTTTGACGCTTAAGAAGAATCTTGCAGATTCGAAGCGTTCAATATTATTACTTGAAATTGTAAGAATTACACGAAAATATGTAAATTTATATCAACGCACTAATTTGCTCGTCTGGCTCTTTGTTTGGAAGCCAAGTGCTGGTGAAATGCCGAACCTCGTCCAAATTGCATTAATTTGCTTAATCGAGTCAAGCTTATGTTGGACACACACAGGTGTACGTTATAATTTGAACATACATCTTAAATACAACGCCTTATATAATAATTCTCTGCCTAACAATAATTCTCAAATTAAACACCAATGTGTTTTTTTCTCAAGTTAGGAAACAAAAAAAGTACAACACTGACAATTTGTTGTTGTGAAAGCAAAACACAAAACACATAAAAAAAAAAAAGATAACTTATCGTTTAATGAGAAAGATCAGAGGTATGAACTGGGCTTTCATATAGCACTTCGTCTTTGATCGCGTAAAAATGAATTCTTATTACGCGTTTAGGCGCTCCCACAACGTATTTCTACGTTCGTCGTGTTATCACATATTTAAGGATATATGATATTAAATTTTCTTTTAAAGCTTTTGTGCGACGTGCGTGTAACGGACGGTTTTACACCGTCGCTACACCGACGTAGCTCGCTATAATTGACAAAATCGTCACGGTGGAAAACACGCTGACATATGAAACACCGGAAGATTCCGCTTGCGAGCCGGTAGCAGCGGCGCTTTGCGCGATGAGAAGATTCTCGCATGGCGTAACTCGTTTCACGTAATTGAATATGGAATTCACGAGATTCGCCGTCGTCGGATCCGGACAGTTTTCCAATTCCGCCACGACGCAGTTCTGAAGGCTAACCATGTCCCTGCACAACGTGAGCAATACATTTTTTTACTATAGTATTTCACAATAGCCAACAACAGAGAAGCAGAGTTTCTAGCGACCCAAGTCGAAACCAAGTGACGAGAGTCGATGGGCTTTCAATCAGGAGGCTCGTTCGAGTCAAGAGAAATTCTTTTTTTGTTCACTTCAAGAGAGATCGATCGCGTTAAAGAACGCGCGGCTCACCTGCATTCCTTTGTGTCGAATAACAACGTTGGCAAATTCTCGACGTCCAGCGAGCCGCCGCTGTTCGACGTTGGCAACCTACTGGAATAAGTCTTGTTGGCGCAGTCTTGAATCGCATCTTTCTTGGATTCGATGCACTCCGGTCCTCCGGCCGCGATGAAAACTGAAGATAAAAACGGTCCATTATTATTATTATTATTGCCCTAACAAAAGAAAATCCGCAAGACGAAAAAAAAAAAAAAAAGAACAGTTCGGGCACGTACGGGCTATGCGCTCGCCCTCCTTGAAGCAAGTGAATTCCAAGAGAGAGTCGGTGATGTTCAGTACGATCTTGATGTTCTCCTTCTCCTTTTCGTCCAGACACGCTTCCAACGTGCTGGTGAAGTTTGTCACGCAGGCTCGCAGAGTGAAGCGCTTGTTGCAGTACCTCTTGAAGACGATGTCCAAATCGCCAGTGGATTTGTACTTGTCTATTTCGGACTGAAGATCCGTGATGTTGATCAACGACTGAACGCACTCGACCATCTCGGTTTTCGCCCGGTCGATGTTCTCGAACGCGTTCGGCCCGCCGTTCCTCTTGCACTTTTCCTTGAACAAATTTTCCGCCTGAGCCTGAACGCCGGACGCGTTCACATTCTTCAGTTCCGGAATGTCGCCTATCAGATTTTGCACGTTGTCAACGGACGACGAGTCTTGCGAGTACGCGCACGCATTAAAACCTGAAACATGAAGAAAAAATTAGTAAAAAACAAAAAAATAAATAAATAAAACATTCCGTGCTATTTTCTTTTACTAATACGCTCTTTGAAATTAATCCGCGCGCGAACGTTACGTTCGAGTGCGATTCAACGCGTCATCGTTCAATGTCTAATCAATATGTGCTTCGTGTCGTTTGCAAAAAAAAAAAAAAAAAAACTCGAGAATGAACGGCGGCAGTTACACGAACGAGTTAGCGATCATCTCATAAAATCGCATAATGAAGAAAATGACTGATGATTAAAGTCTTCTTCCTCTGAATAAATTTCCATTCGTAATAGCTCGCGTATCATATACGCGAGTTTTTTGCGCTAATTTTTTTCCATCGCGCATCAAATTACATCAATTTTTTTTCCATCGCGCATCAAAGAAGAACGTAGGAAAAGAGAGCAGCAATTATTGCGCGCAAAGAATTTGTTTGTTTTTTTTTCTTTTCTCAATCTTCGGATTTCCGAATATCTTTGTTCTGATCGTGCGCATTGTTTCTTTGAATAAACGCGTGTCGGAATCGCTCTCGCGTCTATATCTCGAAAAGCCCTCTCTTTTTTTAATCGAAGCGGAGATTTCACGGTGAAAGAGGCCGCATATGTTTATAATTTGTGGACTTTGTATCGGAGTCGGACTCCACAACCGACACAATCGCGTTTTATCTCTCGCTCCTTTATCGTTGCGGAAAAACTGCTTTGGATTCTTCTGATTGACGACAATTTTTGTCGGGATTCAAATCACGGATTCGCGTACATAATTATCTCGGTGATTATTTTCACCTGCCAATTGTCGCGTCAATTAGCAACAATCTTTTCGTTGTGTAGTTGAGCCATTCTTTTTTTTTTTTTTTTTTTTTCTTGTATGAGACGAAATAATACATATGTGTCAGTTTTCGTTACGAAAGAGATACAAACGAGTTGGATAAAGACCGAAACGTGAATCATTCTTAAGGAGGGGAAAAAAAAATGAATGTGTTTGCTCATAAGTAACATCCGCCAGCATATTGCGGATAAATAGAAAAGGTTATCGATACGACAGGACAACTTTACTGGCCAATTAAAACTTGTGTTAGGAAATAGCGAAATAATAATAAAAATTAAATAAAATCAAAAAGAAATGTTGTTAAGAATAAATCGCACATCTGAATAAAATTACGCGTAAATTGTAATTGGCGCAAATCTATTAAAAAAACGTTGAGAAAAAATTAAACGTAATAATTAAAAAAAAAAATGTTGAGAAAAAATTGCATTCGAACAAACATTCAACGAGACGTCAATTTTCGCGCGAACTTTTGTTTATTGGACAGTCGACTGATAATTTTGTAAAAATTCTTATACGCGTCGTGTATTTTTTTTTACCTCTCATCTTAATCACATTTTCATTTTTATTCTTATCGTTGCGGTATGCAATACCGCAAGTAAGGATTTGATAGCAATATTGACAACAGTCGACATAATAGAAACAAAAAGAAAAAAAAAAAAAAACAACCGTCACATTAATTCCTTTTGGGCAAAGTGCGATTCAACATCGGACACGTAAGAACTACATAAGTAGATCAAGAGTTAAGCGCGTTGGATATCACGTCGGTTTCTCAATCAAGTTTTTTTACGTTTTGTATCACAGAGAGGAAAAATAGATTTTCCTCTCGTTTAAAAGTAACAAGAGAAGAACGCGATCTTCCTGTTTTCCAAGAAGATGCCAACGGTCCGCGAAAAAGAAAAATTTGCTTGGAAATCGGTTACCACACGGATATAAAAAAAAAAAAACTGCCAATTGCGCGATTTTTGTTTTGCAACAAAACGTTCGGTTAGATTAAACAAATGTTTCTCTCAGCAAATAATTTTCTCCGCGTGATCTAAGACACAAGAACAATTTATGTACAATATTAATATCGAGAAATATCAATCAAATTGCTAAAAAAGAACTATTATTAATAGTAAACGATAATAGTTAAATTTACAATGGAAATGAGAGACTCTCGCGTCACTATAAAATTATGTCGCGTGTGATCAGCATAAAATTAACGATCGAGAAGCGCAATAAGCGCTCGTTTTCATTGTCCGAGTCGTCGTCGTCGGTCTCGTTCACGTAAGTAACTTTTCTTGCGCAAGACAAGTGTTTTTTTTTTTTTTTTTTTTTAATTTTCTGAGAACGCAAGACAATTGGAGTTGTAAAATCCCAAACTCTCTTCGTCATCTAGGCATTTTACAACAATCGGAGACGCGCTAACAAACTCCAACTTTTTTTACACAAGTTTTACTTCCAAACTAAAAATAAAATTCTCTCTATTATTTATAGCGTTTTAGACACGTACGCAAAGTGACTGCGGCTTTTGACATTTAAAATTTGCGAGTATTAGACAATAATACTCCAATCGGTATCCGAATGCGGAAACAGACAGTTACTAATCGGTATCGGCTCTTTGCGTCATTTTATATAGCTTCAATTACTTCGATTCGATCAGCGTTAATTATCATCACGTGTGATGTTATCTCGTTCGATATCGAACGCGGATTTGATTCGAAATCAAGAGTTTTCAAGACGGAAAGGGGGGTCGGTCGCAGAGGGAGAGGACGGGGGATTCGTCAAAAACTTACAGAGAAGTAACGTCACAACGGTAAATGTGATGCAGCACTTCATCTTGGCTTCGAACAACATTCCCGCGGCTATCGAAAGTATTTGTAACGCTCACGCAGTGTGTCCCACGTAACAAACAGCACCTATGCACACATGGATAGCCGCCACGCACCGCTCGAGCGTCCACAGCACAAATGATCAACCAACGCGCGTGTTTCCGAAGCACAGCCAGGCACCTATCTGCCACACGTCCGCCTGCCTAGTGCCTGCCTTCTCGTCCACTCCCCCTTGTCCTCTTCACTCCTCCTCATCGCACACAATTATATACACAGCGGCGGAGTCTTTGTCGGTTGAACCTCTTTCGATGTCATCCACTAACGCCATCTGATCTTCCGTCTCGCGTTCTCTTTAACGCGCGACATTCTCTCTCGCTCACTTTCTCTCTTTGATTTCCCGTTCATCATTCCTGGAAATATCGACGAGAGTAAATTGACAGTTTGAAAATAAAAAAGTCTCGGGGTGAATATTTTGACACAGGTTTGCTTACACGATGATTTCTTGTTGCGCGCTTACCGAGGACTTGACGTTATTTGAGCCGCAAAGTAACGATCTCAGTCGTCAAGTCCTCGGTAGTATAGTGGTTAGTATCCCCGCCTGTCACGCGGGAGACCGGGGTTCGATTCCCCGCCGGGGAGGTCTTTTTTTTTTCGTCTTTTCGGATGAAATTACAATTTTGACACGCGTGTTGTGGAAAAAAAAACACGAGATTGCGCAAGAAACATTTTTTAATTTTCTTTAGTTTTTCTTTAATTTTCTTTTTTCTCGAGATCGACTGTCTGCGAGACCGGAGACTCCGAGGTAAAGGCAAAACGTTTTCCGGACAGGAAGTGTTCGCCGCGAACGAGGCCGCAAAACCAAAGAAAATTAATTATTTACAAAAATTACATTACGCGTGAGAAATGCGAGAGAATCAACATACGTTTTAACACAAACTCTAGGAAATCTAGTTCACGCTATTGCTATTTCTAGCCGCATGAACCACCGATGATCGTCCAAGCATCGGTGGTTCAGTGGTAGAATGCTCGCCTGCCACGCGGGCGGCCCGGGTTCGATTCCCGGCCGATGCAGGTCTTTTTTTTTTTCCTCCTCCAGCTTCAACAAATCCTTCCACGACGCGGGAATTGCAACGTCGAAACGAAGAAATTCATATAAAATTTTTCTCACACACTCGAAACGTCAAAGTAAATTTTTTTTTTTTTTTTAAAAGGAGAACAAGGACAAGTCGTAAGGATAATTTACATCATGCACACAAATAAACCGGTTTACCTCGATTAAAATTGCATCGACAAGCCGAAAAACTCATTTTTATTTATTTTAATCGCGAGCGTCTTTCTCTCTCACGGATGTTGCTTCGCCGTAATTGAGATTACAGAATTCCGTGAAGTGTTGACGCAGCGGTTAATCTTCTCTCTCATTTATCACGAAAATACCGTCGTGAGCCACGTTTATAATATTGCCAGTCGGGTCACGTGTGTTGTTCTCGTACGTGGAATACAGACTGCCAATATTTCAATATCATTCGCAGATATTTTTTTTTTATTCTCAAGAACAAACATACGATTACAGAGAAGAAGAATAAAACGTTTCAAAAGAAGAAGCGCGCGCGTTGTCGCAAATCGCACACGGTTGGGAGAATTGGTCCCTATAACCAACTTGTTTCGCAAAATAACGGATCGAAGAAGAAGAGGACAAAGAAGACCATTGTGTGTCCGGAAAGCGGAATCTTTGTCTTTATTCACAAGAGTTCGCGAATTCACGATTCCACACGTGACGTCTAAACGAACGTCTAAACGAACGTTTGTCGCGTGGAAAGTTCCTTTGTAGTTTGCGAATAAATTTTTGCGATCGTCCAAGCGATCCGACGACAAAATAGGAATTTACAAAGGCGGAGATAAATTTTTTAACGCGCTTTCGCTTCTTTCTTTCTTCTTCTTCTTCTTCTTCTTCTTCGAGAACACACGCTTCAGTGAATTATTAACGTGATTAATAAACATAGAACTTGTTATCCTATACTTGTTTTAGTTTTCGACCGTCTACAACTGAACGAAATAGTCACACGGTAATGTACTGGAAATATATATTCGCAAGATTGCTATCGTAAGAGTAGAATATGTGCGAGTCTAACGACAAGCTAAGGCACACATTTGATAACATTATATGAGAGAGAGATAGAGAGGGAGGGAGGGAGCGAAAAAGAGAAATATTTTAATTTATGTAAACTCTTAGAACAGCGATAGAGATATTAATGTCTTCTCCGAAACGCAAGATCAGCGGATGTTTCACAGCTTGTAAGCGTTGCGTATTATCAAATCGAAGTAAGCGTCGTGATCTATGCTCGCGCTGATAACGCTGTAATAATTTATGAACTCTTCCTCCGTTACCTGAAAAGAAACACCGTTCGACAATAAAATTTCCGCAGTTTAAAAATCGCACACAAGAAAAAAATACAGCTAGATATCAGAACACTCACGACTCCGTCGTTGTTGCCGTGCTCGAAATTCGAGAGAAACTTGTTCAAAATACTGTCTTCGCTTTCCTCCCCGCTGATGTAACGCGGATGACATTTGACGTTGTAAACCCCACGGAGATCGTCGATGGTGATTCGCCCGTCGCCGGTTTTGTCCAACTTCTTGAACGCCTGGTCGACTATATCTCTGCGGCTTTGACTCATCGGCGGCTGCAAAATTTATCTCAATTCGATATCAACACGCAATATTTACGCAATTAATTTGTTTCAATCGCTAAATTTTGTCGCAACACTTTGCGTTGCTTCGCGCGGCGCGAAATTGTTTTTTTTTTTTTTCTGTTTTTGAATCAAGAGAAGAAATTAAAAACATATGTGTGTTAAAATAAAATTTTAACAAGTGTATATTTGATTTAAAAAAACTAACTCGCAAACCGACGAGAAACTCGTCGACGCTGACGTTTCCGTCGTTGTCGGTGTCGAACTTCTGAAAGATATTATTGATCTCATCTTCGGACAGTTCGAGCTCGCTCTCCTCCAGACCCTGTTTGAATTCCTCAAGGTTCAGCTTCTTGTTGCCGTCCTCGTCCATACGACGGAACACTCTGCGAAAGAGGAATGTAATAAATATAACGACGCGCAATGAGATGACTTGAATATCGTTATGTGACAAAAGTCAGGGACGATCATTAGATGCCGATTTCGTGTGCGGGCAAGAACCGTATTGTCATCGCACGCGCGCACATTCGCGTGAGGCCGACCTTATCCGACTTATGCGACTAACTTTTTATTTTTATTTTTTCTTCATTAATTAGAAAACGGATGACCGTTTCAAAGATTATGTTTCAAGCGCGTCTGAACAAAGAAATTGTAAAATTCTGTGTGCGCACAATGAGCGCGTTGATACGGAACGTCGGATCGGAATTCGTCCGTACGGACGTTTACCGATGAGGAAAAAAAAAAATAATCTTGTTAAAAACGCTTCTCTGAGACTTACCTACCCAGACCGAGAATGCCATTGGCACCTCTGGTCAGGCAGAGCAGACGCAGTTTCTCAATGGAATCCGTGGTTGTGTGTATGGCCCGCTGGGCCTTGTTGATCATGTCAATCTCGTGCCTCGTGGTGGAACTGTGCGGCCTCAAGCTGAACATAACTGGCAAAAAAGGAAAAACTCGTCATTCTCTCGCTCACGTGATCCGAGTGTGAGTCACATATGCGACACGAAAGAGGCAATTCGCGCACCTTCGCGATGCGAGAGATTCGAAACGAGGTTACACAGATGAAGCGTAGCTTGTGCGTTGCATCTCTCCAAAATGCTTTACCGTACAACGAACAATTATTATTTTCAAACGCTCGCTTTGTTCACGTCTCGCTTCTGTCGACGCAAAACGACGTGAACGCGCGTTACAATATATATGTATGCCGTGAAATTTTAGAAAATAAATGAACGCGTCTATCGACAAAAGTCTCGAAGAATCGAGAACACGGAGCTTCGTGTGTTTGCTGTCGCAACAACGAGACGTCAGATGTAACAAGATCGAATTGAAAAAAAAAAAAAAACGAGGAAAACACAATTTAACAAACCGGCGAAATTGTTAATGTTAATTCTCGTTTCTCCGCGCGAGGACAACAAATAATTTAAACAAGAATTCTATTAATTACACATTTTTTTTCACAAACACGCAAGCACGTTTCTCGATGCTTTTTTTTTTCTTTTGTAGAAGATTGACACAAATGTCTAGAATCATCAGGAAACGCTTACGTTACGCTTCTACACAATAATCCCGCAAACAGGCAATTGATGTTACAACAGTGATAAGATACTTTTTTTTTTTTCTATTATCGCGCGCACGAAGGTGGGAAATGAGAAATGGGTTATCGATTAACCGTTTCTGTCACTAACTTGATATATAAACGGCGCTCGTTTGTATTGGCACAACTTGGTCGGCGTTCGCGATGTGTGTTTTGTCGAAGACCACCTATGGTTAAGTAGAGTAATCTTTAATTGCGTCACGAAACGCGTTCGTCGGCAGCTCCCCTCGCGGACACACCCTCTTTTATCTTTTCATAATAGATTACTACCAAACAAAATTAGCAGCAGAGTCCGTAAACCAGAACGCGAAATTATAACAGAGAATTAATTTTGTTTTTTAATTATTTTCCAACACAACGTTTCGTTCGAAAGTTTGATGTTTCAAGTTCTCTGAAATTTATTACGCGACAGCCGCAAAAGAACGTCCTTGCCATTTGGAAAGAAACTATTGTATGTATGTACATAAGATGAGGAACGGTCTTACGTCTTGTTAAGTGTGTTAAGAAACCAATTGTTCTAAAGTTGTTTGGATAAAATTGAAGCACAAAGGTTGCAAGGTGCCATAAGACGCATTGCAACTACGTTGACATTGGCCAAGTTTCTTTTTTTCTTACACGTATGTATGGGTGTATTATTATTGTACGTACAGTATATCTCTACACGTGAAGTACAAGGACCTCGCGGGTCTTTTATCGACTCGGCTACGTTATTCGCGCTACGGTCCGCGGAAAAAAAACCTATGATTTCGACCGGTAATAATCGAAACTCTCCTCATTGAGTCACAAGTAATCAAATATTCATTCGCGAATTGAGAGTAAAAAAAACGTTTCGCGAGAAACGTAACGCGCCGAGAACAGAGACAATTTGCAGCGAATTAAATGAATATAAAAAAACATTTGTAAAATAAAATATCGAGCAAATAAAAAACAATTTGAATCAAATAAAATATTAAGTGAAATTCAATTAAATCAAATTATTGCACAAAGAAAAAAAAAATTAGCGAAACAAGTTGACCTATAAATTTAAATTTCTAAAAAAACCGCGTTTTTATTTCTCTCGTCGATTTTTGCAACGATATTTATTTTTATAAGGAAATAAAAAAATATTAGCAAACTTCAAGGAAAAACGGAAGTTCTGCGTTATCTTCGCTTGAGTCATACTGTTATAAGAGATAAAAAACTTCTATTTGCACAGCGCATGGATAGGGACGCGATGTAAATATTTTATTTGATTAGACAGTTGGGGCGATAAGAAAATTTACAAGCCGATTAGTCGATAAATCTCTGTTTCCTTTTGCGCGCGATTATAGTCACTACTCACCTCAGCTCGCGCGGCTTTCGGGGAACGCGGCGGAAGAACGCGCGTGTTTGTTTCACCGTGGGATTGGCGGAAGACGCAAGACGGTGATTCACGGGATCGGTTGATGAACGTAGCGATCGGATGTGATATACGTTCTCTCGTCTTCTCGAAAATCGCGCGGCGCCGACAACAACAACAACCACCGACTGTCTTTTCCAAGAGAGGATCAAAAAGCGAGTGGCGATTCTTCCGCATGGCGGAGCGCTATAGCGCGAAGACGACGAGGACGACACATTACGTACACGCCCTGGACGATGTATGGGACGTGCCTATACACCGGATCCCCGGGCGCGTCGCGACGTATCCATAACGACCGGGGTGTCACAACACGCGCATCACATCACTCGTCGTCGATTGCACGCGTGACCGATTGATTGATCGATCCATTTTCGTATATCCTCTTCCTTCTTCTTCCCTTAGATCGACCGGAGATCGAAGAAGAAGAATTGGAGAACGCGCTCGTCTATGCTCGTCAACGGGACGACAATTAGCCAAGTCGTCGCTGCGACGGTCTGTTGTTTCCAGTCAGTTTGAGATATCGCAGACGTGCTGATTGTCAAACCGACACGCAAGGTCGATCATCGTTCGATATTTTTCTTCTGTTTCTTCTTGTGTTTTTATCTCACGTAGATTCTCGTTTTTTCCAGTTCTCTCTATATACGTGCAATTAATTTGTCAGTTTATGTTTGTGTGTAATGTACGCACACACGTTTGAGAAAATTTGACTCGCAAGTGTCTTTGCAATCTTACCTCTCTGTATACTTCCGCTCTGTTGAAAAGAAAAAAAAAACGTCCTCGCTCCATTAAATCGCGGGATGCTGCGAATCTTCGGATGCGCATCATCCGTCGTTTAACGCCTCGTTGCGCGTTGCGCGTCGCGTAATCGCCTTCATATAACCGCGATATGACAAAACGAAACTGCGTCTCGGGCGAGTCCGGTCGCATATCCGGTCATTGTTCTCGCGAACTTCAAGTCAACGGTCTCTCTCTCTCTCTTTCTCTCCGCGTCACCGGTTCTCGTCGGATGTGAAGAGCACGTGCCCGCACTCGGACAAGAAGATCGAGGAGGAGATCGAGCGAAGCCGCGGTGTGGTACGCAGCCTCTCTATCATTGAACTTCAATGACTTGGAGTTTACGTCAAACAAACTGTGGCGGAGATTCGCGCGCCAGAGATTTGTTTCCCTCCGTTTGAAAATAAATAAATATTTTCCGCGCGGAAGATCACAGATCAGGAAGAAGACACAGTCTCCCAGTTGCCTGTTAAAAAAATCACAAATCAAAACTTCCGATCGGATCTTCTGTGTGAAAAATTATTTACGTCAATTGACAACGTAATCAACAGTTTATTGTCGCAAATGAGCAATTGCAAGTTGTTAATGATAAATAAATAATTAGTTTTACTTTGTTTTTGCGCTCACGTTAATTGTCATTATTGGAGCAACTTGGTGAATAGTTGCTTGCCTTCTTTTCTCGGTCGGCGCGTCGCCTTGACCATTCGCTTTTGCAACGGCGATATTTCAAACAACACCGACGGAAAGTCGGATAAATTATCCATGTATATTTGATTGGTGTAGAGCTCGGGCGGAAGGCAACATAGTACCGTGTCGTGTGTAACACACACGTTACATTTTTGCGTTCTTGAACTCTCTCTCTCTCTCGTATTTTATCGGATTTTCTCCGAGTCGCGGCGCAAAGATCAAAGACAATCAAAACGTATTAAAAAAAAAAAACAAACCGCGTCAATCGCGACGAGACAAAAATCTCTCTTCAACGTCATCGCTTGAAAACAAAGTCCGCAAATTAGATAAATCGCAAAAGAAACGATAACGATTTGATTTTCTTACCAGAGATGCGATAAAAAAATCCGGACGCGAGATAGTCGCCGCGACGAAGCAAGGATCGCCATTTTGTAATTTTCGTCCCGCCAGAATCAGTCGGCGTTACCGATCCCTCGCTTACCGATCAAGAGTACAAACAGTCCCCGATTTACCGATTGATAATCTTCTTAACCACCGCCGATAAGGCGGGTCGTTCGTTTGTTTAATCAGCGGAGCGATTGTTTTCTTATCATTTTTAATTGAAGGTTTAATTAAACGGTTTTATTGTTTGTTCAACGAATAACGCACATGATAACAATCTGTCCGAAACGGTCAGAACAACTCGTTCGCAACGTGTTGTCAACAGCGACGTGTTGTCACGAGCTACTTTCGTCTGTCCGTTTCCTCGATTTCGTTCTTCAACCCCAGGACGGGGGTTGTTGTTGAATACTACGGGTTCAGTGAACGTCAAAATCGATTTGGATCGACGTGTCTGGCGCGCGGATGTGAATCTTCTAGAAACAACAATAGGACACGCCGTACACTCAGGCTAGACCAATAACCGGATGACATTTGGATGCGGTCGCGAGCCGGCGCGCACGTAGTTGGCCGGTGCGCGTGTTGCGTGGTAGCTCGCGATTGGCCGATCGCGCGGTTCACGTCACGTATATCGCGTCGACCTCGCGACCGCTTCGTGACAGTCGGCGAGAAAACAGCGGAACAACTCGGATCAGCGCGTGCACACGTAGTAGTAGTACCGTCGAACGCACAGTTTGCTGTGACGCATCCTCTTTTGTAATTTGTCCACGTCGTCGGTTCCACGGCGATTGACCATGAAGAAACTCGTCTTCGCGATCGCGGCCCTGATTTTGCTGACCGGTAAGCAATTTGTTTCTCGATATTGAATCCGCGATTCCGCGAGACAGAGAGAGAAATCGCACCGGTTTTCAGACGTTTCCTACATTTCGTTTTTTTTGTTTTTTTTAGGATTCGTCCGCGCCGAGGACGACCCGGAAGACGTCGGCACGGTGGACGATGACCTAGGCGCCAGCAGAGAAGCATCGCGAACAGGTTTGTTTAATTTATTCATTGAGTTGTTGATGAATTTTTCGTGAGCACGAATTTTGTAACAGGTGGGAGGAAACTCGCAGAAGTGAGAGGGAAAGATTGTTCAGATAAAATAGAGAAGTCATGAGTTGTTTTACACAGACAGACAATTATTTTACAAGCAGGCAATGGAGTTCCCACAGTGCTCCAATATGATCTTGGCTGATCATTCGCATGTTAATTTATAAATGTTTTTGATATATTAATGTAACTTTTTTATTTTACTAACTTGTAAAATAATTTCTGTATCAGCCACTTTCACACAAAAGATAGTTTCACTCACGATCCTTCAAATTTTTGTAATCGAGGAATAGATTTTTTTTTTTAACTCTGTATGTTTAAAAATCTCACAGATCATGAAGCGGTGCAAAGAGAGGAAGAGGCTATAAAGATCGACGGTCTAAACACCGCTCAGATAAAAGAACTGAGAGAAAAGTCTGAGAAATTCATATTCAACACCGACGTGAATCGCATTATGAAGCTTATCATCAATTCTCTGTATCGCAACAAGGAGATTTTCCTGAGAGAATTGATCTCGAACGCGTCCGATGCGCTCGACAAAATCAGACTTCTGTCTCTCACCGACAAGAACGTATTGGATACCAACAACGAATTGGCTATCAGATTAAAAGCCGATAAAGAAAACAAGGTGTTGCATATCATGGATTCCGGTATCGGCATGACCAAGCAAGATCTGGTGAACAATCTTGGAACGATTGCGAAATCTGGCACGGCGGAGTTTCTGGCGAAGATGCAGGACGCCAAGAACACTCAGGACATGAACGATATGATCGGTCAGTTCGGTGTCGGTTTCTACTCCGCCTATTTGGTCGCCAATGTCGTTGTTGTGACAACCAAGCACAATGACGACAAGCAGTACATCTGGGAGTCGGACAGCAGCAGCTACAGCATCATAGAAGATCCGCGAGGAAACACTTTGAAGAGAGGAACAACCGTGAGGTAAGATGCACTTCTTTTCTGCAATATTATTAAAAACAACTCCGTTATTTGATAACAAAAAGCAGTTCAATTTTTTAATTTCTTTATCTTTTTTGTAGCTTATATTTGAAAGAAGAAGCATTGGACTTCCTGGAGGCAGACACGATAAAGAACCTAGTGAAGAAATACTCGCAGTTCATCAACTTCCCTATATACCTGTGGGACAGCAAAGTCGTACAAGTCGACGCGGAGGACATAGAGGAGGATAAGGCCTCGAAAGAAGAGAACGAGGACAAGACCGTGGACGAAGAGGAAGAGGCGAAGGTTGAAGAGGAAGCGGAAGAGGAGAAGAAGAAGACGAAGGTCGAGAAGACCGTGTGGGACTGGGAATTACTAAACGACTCGAAACCAATCTGGACCCAGAAACCGAGCGAGGTTGAGGAAAAGGAATACAACGAATTCTACAAAACGCTGACCAAAGACAGTCAGGAACCTTTGGCGAAAACGCACTTCGTCGCAGAAGGTGAAGTAACCTTCAAATCACTCTTGTTCATTCCGAAGGTTCAACCGAACGAAAGTTTCAATCGTTACGGCACCAAAGCCGACAACATCAAGCTCTACGTCAGACGGGTCTTCATTACCGACAAATTCGCCGATATGATGCCCAACTATCTCAACTTTATTCGCGGTATTGTGGACAGCGACGACTTGCCGCTCAACGTTTCGCGTGAAGATCTGCAACAACATAAACTGATCAAGGTCATTAAGAAGAAACTTATCAGAAAGGTGCTGGATATGATCAAGAAGATCCCTAAGGAGGATTACGAAACCTTCTGGAAGGAATACAGCACGAACATGAAGCTGGGCATAGTCGATGACCCGCAGAATCGCGCGAGAATGTCCAAACTCCTGCGATTCAAATCGTCCAAGTCGCAGAAAGATATGACCTCTCTCGCGGAATACGTGTCCCGCATGAAACCTAACCAGCAACACATCTATTACCTCGCCGGCCCGTCGGAGGAAGAAGTGAGGAAGTCGCCGTTCCTCGAACGATTAGAAAAGAAAGGCTACGAGGTGCTGTACCTGACGGAGGCGGTGGACGAGTACGCGATCTCGGCGTTGCCCGAATTCGACGGCAAGAAGTTTCAGAATGTAGCGAAGGAGGGTCTCGTCTTGGACGAAGGCGAACAGGCGAAGGAGCGAATGGAACAGTTGAAGACAACGTTCGAACCTCTGGTTAAGTGGTTGAACGACGTTCTGAAGGATCACATCAGCAAGTCGCAGGTCTCGGAACGTCTTACCGACTCGCCCTGCGCTCTGGTCGCCAGTATGTTCGGTTGGACCGGCAATATGGAGCGGTTAGCGATTTCGAACGCGCACCAGAAGGCCGAAGATCCGCAAAAATCCTATTACTTGAGCCAGAAGAAGATCTTAGAGATCAATCCGCGACATCCGCTCATCAGAGAGCTGCTGAGACGAGTCGAGGTCGACACGTCCGACGATACTGCCAAGGATATCGCGCTGATGATGTTCCAAACGGCGACTCTGCGATCTGGTTACATGCTGCGCGAGACCTCGAGCTTCGCGAACAGCGTCGAACAACTCATGAGGAAGAGTCTGGGCATAGCTCCCGACGAGATGCCGGAGGAGGAAGAATTGCAAGAGGAAGAGGAAACGATCGGCAACGCCGAGGCGGAAGAAACTGTCGACGCGGAGGCCGACACCGAGAACGAGAAGGACGAGGATCACGACGAGTTGTAATAAAAAGAGATATGAACCTAATGGATAAAAAAAAATATTTCAAAGACTTATATAAAGTTTAGAGATGTAGCTATACAATGTATAGTTACCCTAAGTTTCGTGTTAAAAAAAATTATATCGCGTGAATTTCGTCTCAACACACTATTACTATTTAGATGAGTATATAATTAAAATTAATTTACTTGCGTCATGATTTCGTTTGTAATTGCGATCTGTGTTTGCCTTCGTTTATATTCCATTAATAATCGATACGTTTTTCACAATTGTTGATGATACATAAATGCAAAGAACAACGCCCGTGCTATGTGGTTGACGTAAATATATATATATATATATATATATATATTTTTGTTTTATATATAAAAAGTCGCGCCGCAAACTATTTTATATAAAAAATCATCACGAACGCGACATTAAAGCAATCACTGATGATAATACGCGTGTGAAATTTGTACGTTCTTTCAAGGAGAATATTTGTGTAATTTATTTTTAAGTTGCTCTTCCATGTCGTTGTTCAAAACTGAAAGAGAGACTGAGAACACACGGAATGCTTGTACCTTGTATGTGTGATTGTGTATTTGTACATGAGAAATATACAAATTATTATATATATTAAAAAGAATGTATGTATGGGGCAATTGTTTGTTTGTTTGTTTGTTTTTTTTTTTCTATCTTCCAACTCCTTCAACGACGATTGTAGTTTGTAATCAGTTTCGCGCGTGAAGGCTGAGAAAACCTGTTTTTTTTTTTTTGTAAATTAGAGATATTAAATATTATTGTGTATAAAAATTTATGTTAAATATCAACCTGATTGAAACAAGTAAAAAAAAAAAAAAGAAATTTCCGGCACACGTGGAGAGCGGTATGGCCGCTATCGACCAATCAGAAACGGTCTCCACGAGAGACCACAACAACAAGTTGCTCTCTTCTTCGTCGTTTGCCAGCTCCGTGATACAAGGAGTTTCAAACACAAATTTCAATCGCGTGTCGGATCGTACGCAAGTGTGATAGTAAGAACAAATACCTCATGGCGGTGAGTTTATTTCTTCAAATTTATTGTTCAAACGTGTTTGAATTGATGAATTGTACGTTGCAATTGTTTTCACGCGACGATTGCGCGACTCGACGCAATTTGTTTCACGTCAGCGGTTGAGATAACCTCTTGTTTTGTATACGCGTGTTTTTTTTTTTTTTTTTGAGATACATCTATGGAGTTTTAAAACAAAGCGTACGTTTTGTCGAAACAAAATCATCGCGTTCTTTTACTCGACACTTGCGTCTTTGCTTGAAAATTTTACGCACATTTTGCGTCCAAGTTTTTTTGTGTGACGTAGCAACCACAAATGTGTGTTTGATCCATTTTATCATATTATCTTACACTTACCGGCGTGCAACAACTCCGTATATCACGGAGCTGTTGTAACAGTTCTGTTATTTATTACTGTTTTCTAATTTCAACTAATTTTTATTTCAGGTGCTTACTACTGTGCAAGAAGTCCGCGAGATCACTAAGATTGAACGCATTGGCGCTCATTCTCATATCAGGGGTTTAGGACTCAATGACAGTTTAGAACCTCGCAATGTAATTATCAGATATCTCATAAGCTCTTTGTATATTGGGTCATTAAGTATAGAAACTTAATACTGTATCGAGTATTATATGTACAAGTCTTGGTTAATGACCCAATATAATAATATTTCACTCAGAAAACCTAAAGAATATTAAGGAGCAAAATAATATGATTAATTTATTAGTAAAAATTAAAATTAGTGATAATTTTTCGAACTGTAAGTTGAATAGAAACAAAAACATTGGCTCTGTAGTCAAAGTTTTATTTTTATTCAATTGATTGATAAAGCAATAACGCTAAAAAAAATTAATTAATTTACAAAATTAGGTATCTCAAGGTATGGTTGGCCAGCTTATGGCACGCCGGGCTGCCGGTATTGTTCTGGAAATGATTAAAGATGGCAAAATAGCAGGTCGTGCTGTTCTGTTGGCTGGACAGCCTGGAACAGGGAAAACTGCTATTGCTATGGCATTGGCACAAGCTCTGGGCATGGATACTCCATTTACATCAATGGCTGGTTCTGAAATTTATTCATTGGAAATGAGCAAAACGGAAGCGCTGACTCAGTCTATCAGAAAGTCCATTGGACTTCGAATTAAAGAGGAAACAGAAATTATAGAGGGTGAAGTTGTGGAGATTCAGGTTGACAGACCGGCAACAGGTGTTGGAGTAAAAGTTGGCAAGTTGACATTAAAAACAACAGAGATGGAAACAATTTATGATTTGGGAAATAAAATGATCGACTGTTTAATGAAAGAAAAGGTGAGAAAACGTGAGATTTGCAATTCACAATCTATTACAGCTGTAAAATTTATAAGCTGTTTTGAAAACCACAAGGAATGTATTTTAAAAACAACTGATCTTATGTTTACAGGTACAAGCCGGCGATGTTATAACAATTGACAAGGCAACGGGAAAAATTAACAGACTTGGACGTTCCTTTACCAGAGCTCGAGATTACGATGCTACTGGCTCACAAACGCGTTTCGTACAGTGCCCAGAGGGCGAATTGCAAAAACGCAAAGAAGTTGTTCATACAGTGTCTCTGCACGAGGTCGACGTGATAAATAGTAGAACTCATGGATTTTTGGCATTGTTTTCTGGAGACACCGGAGAGATTAAATCTGAAGTACGCGAACAAATAAACGCCAAAGTCGCCGAATGGCGGGAGGAAGGCAAAGCGGAAATAGTTCCGGGTGTACTTTTTATCGACGAAGTGCACATGTTGGATATCGAGTGCTTCTCATTTCTCAATCGAGCCTTGGAAAACGAAATGGCTCCAGTTGTGATTATGGCAACAAACAGAGGTACGAAAAAAAAAAACATTAATCGGTCGCGTAACGATCTGTTTAATTTAACGTTTTTTGTCTAATTGTTCTAGGAATTACGAGAATTAGAGGAACAAATTACAAGAGTCCTCATGGCATTCCAATTGATCTGCTGGATCGTATGATTATCGTCCCGACCACTCCGTATCAAGAAAAAGAACTCAAAGAAATCTTAAAGATAAGATGCGAGGAAGAAGACTGCGAAATGGCTGATGACGCTTTGACTGTGTTGACGAGAATTGCTTTGGAAACATCGTTAAGATACGCGATACAGTTAATCACAACAGCTTCTCTTGTTAGCCGTAGGAAAAAGACTACGGAAGTAAGCAGTAGTTTACGTGTAACAATTTATATGTGACATATGATATTGTAATATTAAACGCAACTTGTGCTTACGCAGGTCAGTATCGAAGACGTGAAACGCGTGTACTCTTTATTTCTCGATGAGAACAGATCTACGCAGTTTCTTAAGGAATACCAGGACGACTTCATGTTCAACGAATTCTGTATGTAGATGAAAACTTCAATTTTTTTTTCGCAATTCGTCGATCGCACATTTTTAATCGTTTGTTTCAGCTGTTTCAACCGGCGAAAGTATGGATGTTACTTTATAATGAGACACTGAGACAAATCACCGGCACGTACAATTTCTAGTGTACAGATCTAATTTTCTGTATTATACCACGTTTAGTGATATTTTATACATTAAAGAAGTTAACACACAAAGTTCTATTCAAAACACTTTAACTCCCTTAGACCATCTTTATGACAATTTGGTACAAGCATTGTCTTTGCTTCCTCCCACGTGTTAGCATCGCATTTTTGTCAAAAATAAACGTGTGTCTTATATATATATATATATGTATATATTTTTTTCAAACAATCTGATATATTCTACGAAAATGTAACATCAATGCAGAAGACGGAAGCCTTGAATCTTGAATTATTATTAATAACAAACTCTTTGCTTCACTAACGAGCGAGCAATAAAATTAAACTTACAGAGGTATATTAATTTTTGGTGTGAGAAAAAACTTATATCTCTAGAATATATTAGATATAACGTAAGACGGTAGATAATACGCATATTTGCATTTTGTTTGTTTCAACGTGTGTGATGAGAACAAACTCGATGCAAATTCGCTCAGCTACGAAATAAAATGGACAAGTGTGTAACGTAAGTTGAGAAATCGAGCTTTACCGCCAGAAAGTCCATCAGTGTGCGAAGTTGCGTTCACGTTTTCTTCTCCTGAATCTTCTTGACTGAAAAGAGAAATCAACAGAAAAGAGTTTATCGCTGCAAGATTTGATTAATATCTATTTCCTAATATACCGCACAGAGATCCGGTGAATTGTATTCTGGATATCAATATCTAACAGATCAATATCTGGAGGACGTCTTTAGGAGGATTATAGCGTGCTGTGTGTGTTTGATGGGTTGTGTTATATATTTTTCTGTACTCACTTGTTATCAGTTTTATGCCGTCTTCTGGCTTGAACGACGTTTTCTTATCTTTCGATATAAAGCCTAAACCGTAGCCTACCTTGTACACGGGTAGCGGAATCACCGTGGATGACACGGGTACCATTACTGAAAAAAAATTATTGCTATGTGTGTCTGTTGACAAATGATTGAACAAGAGATTAGTATTTTCTCTTGAAAATCATATCACGCGTAATTTGTTTGTGTTTGTTTCTTTAAAGTTAGCGTATAATTTATATATTTTAAATAATTTATAACTTAAAAACTAAATGCGCTCTTCGGCGTTTTTGTTGATCAAAGCTTGATGTAACATCGGGGAATTGTTACACTGGTATAGTCAAGGTTGATTGGCATAGAAACTTTGTACGATCGTCGTAATTGTCATCTTTAAAAAAAATTTCACGTTCGACAGACTTTTCATATTCTTTTACTACTCGACAACGTTTCCCACGTGTAAACTATCGCGCCGCTAGTTTTTTTATGTTAACAAGCTCGTGAGTAATGTACGCGCAAAAGCGAAATATAAACATTGTTCCAACACATCTGTTCAAACACATAACGTGTCACGAAGAACCACACAGTGAAAGTGTGTTAAAGACATTCCACAATTCAGCATGCGGGGGGAAAAAATAGAAAGTCGTGGGATATGATTGAATTACAAACATTGTTAAGATATCGTGTATAGAACGCGCCCACCCACCGGTACTGCAAATTATTCGAATATATATATACATATCTATAGAGAAAACTAGTTTATTGAAAGAATTCTATTGAATGTGTGTAATTACCACACACACACACACACACACACACTGCGAGCGAGCGAGCGAGTGACACAAATGGATCGTGTGTTTTACACACACCTTCGCTGGCATTTGTGGCTGATATATAAATGGGAACGTGTATAGAGACCTTGCGCATGTATGTTGTGCAGATAATTATAATGTTACATGTAATATGTACAACGTATATTCGCCAACAATGGCAAGCCACGTTTATACACCGTAAAAAAAAAAATGTATGCTCGTTTAAAGCGCGCTAAGAAAGCAGATAATTAAAAGAAAATTAAATATTTATCATTAACGAATATTATTAACTAATTGTAAATTACTGTTATTAAGTACTTGTCAACATATGTTTGTTACGTGTATTTATTTACTTTTTCTTTTTTTAATTATCTATTTTCTTGGCATTTACATAGCTAATTTTTCTTTTCGCTCTTGATGAATGTGAATTTGAATTTATTCCCGTCGAATTATCTCTTTCTTTCACTCGCAACGCAACAACAATTTAAGAACATTTCTTAGCAATTGTTGTATAAAAAAATTAGAAAATATTTAAAATCAAATGTAATATATGTAGAAAATATATTGTACACGAGACTTTGTGCAAAAGAATTTTCTTTTGCGCGGTTTAACAATTTATTTTTCTAATTTGAATTTTGATTATAAAAATACCGTAATGAAAAATTTTAATCACACTGTACGATGCAGTAATTTTTGAACTGTGCGTCAAAGCGTGTGCGCGGGTTTCAATATGTTTGACTGTCACTAATGCAAATCTACAGTACGTGTAAAATGTAGATTTTCAGTATTGGCAGTGCGATTATATTAGAACGTAGCCATAATCGAAACCTACGCGTTACACCGACTGACGTCACCGTCCTGTTATTCTCCTGTCAAATGCCGACTATCAGTGCGAATTCGAAATTCCATAGAATTTCGCACAATCAGTAACTCCGTGCTCGATTCTTTTCAGTTTCTTTTTTTTTATAAATATTTTTCAATATACATCTAACGAGATAAGAAAAAAGAGAAATTATTTACAATCTTGGGGTGAATCTTCGTTTTTTTTTTTTTTGGAAAGAGAAATTCTCAAATCGAGAAAAGTTTTCAGTATATTTTTGTTTGAGCTTTTTCAAGAATTTGTTGCACTCTTGCGCGCGCAAGGAAATAATTTTTTATTTCAACGTGTATGTCTGATCCACTGTAACTAACCAAGTTTTTTATATAAAAGAAAATTGCAGCTAATAAATTAACAATTTTAATTATAAACAATATAATATTTTGTTATTTATAGCTTCAGATGTGTATGTGTGTGTGTGTGCACACAGAAATCACGCGGCTTATTGTACACGGGTGATGTGCATTGTAATTTTTTGCGCGTCAGGAAAAGAGCGCGAACGAGATAATTTTCCAGAAACATTCGAAATGCACACGACGATATTGTCAAAAAATAACCGAAGCGAAGAATTTTCAAATACCGCCAAGATTATCCGTAAATTTTTTTTATCTGAATTTAGCGCGCGACGGATTTAGACAAATTGAATTTAAATGTACATCGCCGACCGCGCCATTCAAAATTGTATAATTTGCTTAAAAATTCTGCGGTTTAACTTGTTGTGTTACGAGATCAAATAGTGTGCGTGTTTTTGGATTAATTTCAATTGCGCGCATAATCAACGTGACCGCGCGCAATCTATCAATAATTCGATTTCGACTGTTTGCTGATATCTTGTCATCGTACGTTAACGAATCGATCTGTATATATAATACACCGATGACAAATTCAAATTATTGCGATATCGAAACGTTGATTGAATATTTGACACGCCAAAGATATATGATGAATTTTACATCGTCTAACAACAATGGCGTTCTTAAAAACCGAATCCTGTTGAAATTGTCATCGAGATAACTTTTACCGTAAATCAACAGATTGCTCGCCAACCTGGTTCGAAAACGTTATCCTCGTTCCTCTTGTAAATCATGGGCTTGCCGTGAACCGCAGAGATCGCGAGACAGAAAGCAACGATCCAAAGGGTCCTCATGTTCGCTCGCTGTGAAATCGTCGAGTTTTTTGAGGAAAAAGAAAATCGGAAACGCTACGTCTTTTTTTTTTTCCAATCGCGCGAGAAAACACACCTCGTGCGGCGATACTCCGTGCTATACTACACGCTCAGCCACTCTCGCGAGCCCGTTTCGCTCTCGCCGTGGAGCCAAAGCAGATGACAACACTTGCCGCGAGTGGGGAAACTCGTGCGGAATTGACGCAATCCGTGTGAGATCGCGCGCGCGCGACTTTGCGGTGAATTTATTTCGCGTAAAAGTTTTGCGCGAGAGGTGGGTTGTGTTGTTATCGCGCAAACACATTTCCCTCGCGCGCAAGAGAAAGTTCCGATAAGAACATCGCACACACACACACACACGCACACACACGTGTGCTCGCCGATCTGGACCGATCTCTATCTCCGCCACCGGAGGCGGAAAAGAAAATGGGATTTCTCTTCTCCTTTCCTCAAATCGGACGTCTCATCTTTTTATGTGCCGTCTCACGTAAAGAGATGACGACAATTTAAAAATATATTATGGCAGAAAAATATTATATTACAATTATTATTGAATATAATATTGAAATATTATATTACGCAAAATGACGCAACACAACACGCTCGCGATTTACTTCGCTCGAACGTGGGGACCGCGACAGAAGCACAATGCGCTCGCGAGCAATGATCAGGGAGTGTCAAGGACTTGTGGTTAATCATTCTTTTGTATATAAATATATATACGTAATGTATATATACGTTGCTTGTGCCTCTTTTAACTCTTGTGAAGAGGTAAAAGAGTCAGAAGCAATTTTTTCTTCTTACCTCCTTCTCGCTCGAAATTTACATCCACGTTATATTTCACACTTAAAAAAAAAAAAAGGATGCGCCGGAACATCAAGAAGATTAGTTACATGCAAAATAAATTTGCTAAGCCCGTTAAATTTTGTTTGCCAACAAAACGTTTCGTCGAAAAACAAAATTTCTAATTTCCGATCTTTTTAAATTTTAACAATAAAAATTGTTTTCCGTGTACTTTTAACGACTGGAACGCACACACGCGAATAAATCGGTTGTTGATTTGCGGAAGAGAGAGAGAGAGAGACAGAGAAACGAAAAAATATATTATAAAGAAATTACCGACGAGATTACGTGAGAGCGCAACATTAATTACAGACAGTTCGGTAGTTAGTGGAGTGTGAGAAGAATTCGGTTTGATGGTCCGACAATGGAAACTGGGTTAAAAAGTGAAAGGATTCTCAGATTGAGAGAATGAAACGACGCCGCGCGTCGAGCTTTCTATTCACTATATGGATGACGGTTTTGCGGCACCCGAGGCGCCTTCTATCTCTCTCCTAGCGCTTTTTCACGCGGAGTCGGAAAATTGGCAGTGATTTCAAGAGCAAGTGACAATCGACAACTTCTCTTGTTTCCTTTTGTCACGTCGTCGTCGTCGTCGCCGCGATTACTGATTGTGAGAAATGATTTCGCCGGGAGGGGGAAAAAAAAAAGAGCCTTTTCGCGTGTGGAAAAATTCCACGTCTCTAAGCTGGCGGCACGAAACGATCTCGTGCGCGATTGTATTCGATTTAACAGAAGAATTGCGAGTCTGTTTTCAAATCGTTGCGTTGTTTTTTTTTGTTTCGCTTGTTTGTTCATTGCTCGATCGATTTCGCGTTTCGAAGAAACGTTTGTCAAGAAACAAGAATAATTGTTAAACAAATCCGCGCGCGCGGCTCCTTCTGACTTTTTTTTGTTCACTCGTCGATTGCATTTCAAATCGCACGTAACCGGATAGGAAAAAATTTGTCCGTGAATGAAGAATCTTTTTTTTTTTTCTTTTCCCCGGGATTTTACACGAGTGCGCACTCAGTGACGACACAGTCGATGACTAAGCCGCATTTCCGCAGCCGGGGAGAAGAAATTCTTCATCCCCTCGAGCAAACGTAATGGACGCGCAATCACGCGGTCTTACAAAAAAAAAAAAAAAAAAAAAAATATACATATAGAAGATACATAGACACAAGTACGACACCGGAGAAAAAAGTCTTTTGTATACGAATGTATTCTCCGGTCACGTACGATTAAACACAATTACACGTGAGAGAGAGAGAGAGAGAGAGAGAGAGAGAGATCGTCTCATTCTCACGTATACGATTGCACGCAATCTCAGATCGCCAGATGTGACAATTTTTCCACGTAACGATTTTTTTTCCCGAACAAAAACAAAAAAAAGATGTCGCGCGACAAGTGCGACATCGCGTTGACAAATAACAACGCGGATTCCGGTTCGTTCCCTCCGAATGTTAGACTATAAAAAAAAAACACACACACACACACACACACGAAGGAGTGTGAAGGAGAGTAAAAAACGGAGAGTAAGAAGGGTGCGCACCCTTTACCAAGTCTTACCGGGTTAATTGCAAGTACTTCTCTCGGGGGGTAAACCACAACGGACGTGCATATACACACACTCTACGCGCGTCGTGGACGAGGGTAAGACCCGGGGAGATGATTCGCAGCACGACACCCCATTTCTCTTTCAGTGTGTTCCGCGCGCGCGAGTCTTTTCATACATCTCGTCTCGCTGCTTAAAATATTAGAAACTTCACCCCTTCTCCCCGAGATCTTGTGCGTGAGGGGATAACAATGGCGAGTCAATTAATCGCGCTTGCGCGATCCATCCATCGGCATCCGAAACCTGATCATTAATTTCGTATTTAGACACTTCGCGGTGTCATCATCATTTTTTGTAACATATTGTTTACACACGTTACCATTCAAAAGTTCGAAAGCGTCGTCTGATAAAATCTTTTTTTTAGAGATAAAGCAATTTTTTTTTCAAACGCATCAATTTTTTTTTTCAACGCAATAATTTCTTGGAAATGTGACTGTAGAAACAAACGTGCGTGATGTAATGTAAAATCAATAAAAGTCCGAGTAGCAACTTGACGAGTTTATGTAAAATCGAGATTATTTTTTAATCGTAGAATCGATTATTTAAATATTTTACTGTGTCACGCGCAGTTTGTTAATTCAGAAATTTTACGTTATCACCCGTCAAATTGCTACCGATCGGATTCGACCTGTTATTAATTTCCATAATTATTAAATAATTACTGAACGTTATTAAACAATTTATTTGATAATATTCAGTACTTATTAATTGGACTGATTCTAAATTGAAGCAGTGGTACGTCACACAGTTCAAGCAAACGCAGCAAAGTTTCTTACGTCACATCTTTTTTTTACATTATTTTTATTTCATCTTTCTAAGAAGACGCGCTGTGCTCTTTGACTTTTTCGAAAAACGGCGGTGTCGACTTTGAAAATTGAGAAAAATTTATATATCGCGTTTCTTTATCACCCCGCGCAAAAATCAAACAAAAAGTGGTTTAGATTCACGTCTAAGTCGACGTTCTTATACCTCGCGGTAGTTTGAAGAGCACCGACAATCCCGCGTAATGTTGCATTAAATGACAGATAGTGGAGAATGTGTGCGGCTCGCAACCGCACATTCCATTTCTGTCGCCGGCAGTGAAATCGCATTTTAACATTTGAGACGGAAACGAGTCTCTCTTCACGTCAACAACAATACGTAGGATCTAGTTTAGCCGACGATGCGTTTTCAAACAACCGACATGCGAAAAGTGGAAAATACCTACCCGACGCGTTTTAGTTTTAATGATTAATTTCGTCCGTTGTCAATTATTCACATATTCGATCAGGCAACGGCTTAAATCGCCGAGGATATTAAACATTGTTGTAATAATTTATTGCACAAGGAAACCAATAGCGTTTTGCGATTTTTTGCTGCGACATCCTTTACAGAAATTCATTACTGACCCAATTAATTTTTTAATATTAAATTCATCGTTGAACATAGTGTTTTTATTATTTAAAATAATGTTATTTTGTCTACACGCGTCAGCAATAAATTTCAATAAGCGATTGTAAATGTATTATAAATGCGTATAAATCATTATCTTTGCATTATGTATAATTTTACGTGTCTACGTGAGATTATTAATTATTAATGACTGTGTAGTTGTACACAATTGTATATAAAATATTTTTAATTATATGTGTGTGTGTGTGTGTACATTATTGTACGTGCTATAAATAATTGTACGCCGACGAAATTGTATAATGATCGACTCTTGTATAACATCGATTATGTATAAAAACCGGACAACATCATTTATAATTATATAAGAAATTATATATATAATTGTAAAAATATTTTAATTGTATATATATAATATAATTATATATAAATTGTAAATAATTATATATTTTTTATTATTGTGTAAAATATATGTGAGAAAAATGTTTATCTTTCTTTTACGAAATTCTTTCTAAGCACCTACACACACTCACTAATTGTAAATAACGTAATATAAAAAAAAATAAAAGTGGCCAAATAAGAAATTAAACAAGTTGATTTCGATTTTGGCGTTTTACGAATAATTTTTTGTTTCACAGAGGAACAGAAAGGATTGTTTCCACTTACGAGACGCAAATCGGGCGTAGATTTTTGATTAATTGAATGTAAATGTCAAATTGCAATATTAATGCGCACTTGAAAAATAATTCGCACGTACGTATCTCTTACGGCGCTTACTTGGCCTTATTGTTTCCCTTATAGAGACAAGAAATTAGTCTTTTAAGGGTGAGACAGAAACACACAAAAAAAAAAAAGACACAAACAAAAAAGAAAGACCCTCACACACATAGACGGCGAATTCATTGAGCCATGAAGAAAGTCCAGATACGAACCAATGACGACGGCCTTTGTACCGACGGCAGGGTGGCCGGCGACGCCACCCCCGCGCTTTCACCTCAAAGGTAGACACCTCGGGCTCTCTTTCCGCCACGTTTTCCAGAGTCGGGCATCTGACACCCTCCCGGCGCGTTGTCGGTGGTGGTTCTCTATGCGCGCAGAGGGCGGAAGAGATCTCTCACTGTTGTAGCGGGCGTGGGGATGCGCGCGCACCAACCATCCCCTGTGTGTTCGGCACGTAATCGAAACTGGGAGCGCCGTGGTAGTTTGTCGTCAGTTCTGTAAGACTGGGGCTGAAATTTTATCGCTTGGAAATGGAAATACGTGGGGCGGTTTGACAACGAGAGAAAATTTCAGTCAGAGGATCGAAAGGACGCAAGACGAGGAAGACGCGAGACTTCTGCCGAATCGCACCCTATAATCACGTGAGAGACAGCGACGAGGAGAGACAACGGCGTTTTTTCTCGTTCGCAATCCCGTGGTCGCCGATCGCTTTATCGCTGCAGCGACGACGTTGACGCGTGCCGGAAATCGAGTGACAGAAAGATTTTCCGTGGGGGAAAGCAGCGCTGGCGCGTAAAATCGACTCGCGACCAACGGCACCGACGTGTTCAAGAAACTTCCGAATATAAAAAAGTCTCTTCGTCGCTTCGAGCGCTCGAACGAAATCGATTCACGTCGCCGGTGAAGTAGCGACTAGCGGAGCGCACGCAGCGACGACGATCGCAGGATTAATCGTCGGATTTCGAGAGAGCCCGAGAGAGAGAGAGAGCAAGAGAAAGAGAGAACGACCGATTTTTCGTCTTGGACGGGAGGGTGTGCTGGCTCCCTTGGAATCACAATGGCGACCGACTTCGTGTCCGCGAGGTGGTTCAGGCCGGCAACGATCGACTTACGCAGGCATCTTCGCGAGCATCGATAATACATCGTCTATATGTGCGCACACCGTGCTCCGCTCGATGCCTCGTTAATTCAAATGAGCGAACTGTCGGGTGTAATCGTTCCTGTTCAAAGCGTTACCGAGGCATGGCGGTCTTATCAGTACACGGTCAAAGAGGCAACATGAAAAGAATCCCCAAGACGCATCCGCCAAAGATAAAAGAACGATCGTGTGCGAGAGTGCACGCGTGAATGTGTGTGTTTCCGCCGGAGGGCTATTTGAGGGTTGAAGTCGACAAGTTGTACGGTTACCCTCTTTCGTGGGGGGGTAGTTCGCGCGGGGGTCCCCCGCGTTCAATGTACGCGATTTCGCATCGTTACCGATTTTAACGTCGAGCGAAGGGCGACGATATATATATATATATATATATATATAACACGCGAGCACCTCTTGACTCTCGCAAATGATCTCTCTGTGCGCGAAATCCGACAACGTTACCTCCTACACACACACACACACACATACACGCGCGCGCGATGATGATCGAAAAAGAATGGACGAATGACGACGAACTGACGTTTGACGTGCGCGCGATGTCGTCGGTTGTCGCCGAATTGTCACCCGAATGAAAAGCAAAAATAAAGAAAAAACTACACGCGATATAAAGAGACACGCGGAAGACGATTTATATATATTTTATCAATTTTGATGATTGCCGAAAGATTTGTTTTTATACACGGGAGGTCGTAATCGTTTGTCACGTGACAAGTGAAATAATGCTGCGTAAAATCGCGGTGGAGCGCGGCGAATCGTCGGATCTCGTGAGAAAGTGGTAACTACGATTTTTAAGGCGGCGAAAGAAAGGGAAAGAGGGTAGAAAGAGAGAGAGAGAAGAGAACAAAAAAAAAAAACAAAAAAAAATTATCAGCGAATATTCATTCAACCTGGCAGACCAAGAAGAAATTAGCGGCTCGGCGGCAATGCAGGGCAAGGAGAGCCCCGTTGGGTCCAACACCCAGGAGACCTATCAGTACGTCGGTCCTTACCGTTTGGAAAAGACCTTAGGGAAAGGCCAGACCGGTGAGTGGTGCCATCGTGTCTTTCTTGTGTTTTTTTCCCTCGTTAACGAAATTAATTTTCAATTCATGTAAAAAAGAAATGACAAGATGCCGCAGTGCTTTAGAGCCGAGTGTGCGAAATATTGTCCAAAGTGGAAAACTTAAATGCACATTATAGTGTTCTCGAATATTAAATTCAAGATTAAAAAAAGTTCGAACTACCAAAAATTAAAAACAAAAAAAAACTGGTTATAAAAAGCTAAAGAATTAAATTAAAAATATTTTAATGCAAATATTTTCGGAATTAAATTTAAAATCCACGCTCGATTTGCGTCTCGTAAAAATGTGGAAACAACCTCCTCTGCGAATGTTGTTTCGAAATTTATTCGCGATAAATACTCGATTTGTTCGAATTAAACAAAACATTTCATTTCCCAAAATCAACTTCTCTTTGCGATAATTCTTATTCGCAATTAACGACGGCGAGTCTACCGAGGCACGGGGTTACAAACCGCTTTGAAGAGTTGAAACGCGACTTGTTCGCGCGAGTACACGAGAGTTTTCGCGAGTTTTCTCATGCGAGCGAAATGCATTTTTCGAAAAATGCTTCTTCTCGAGAAACTGAGTCACGGAATCGACGTCACCATTGATCGACAAAATTTGTGCAGCCACAACTTTTGCACGGCGATACATTCAAGGTTTCTCATTTGCGCGCAATGGTGACGTAGAACACGTGTAATTTTCTCACGGATCGTTTCATCGACTCTCTGCGAGAGAGAGAGTTTCGAAAGAAGCTAACAATGCTAACCGCGCGAGTTTCTGATCATCAAAGAAACAAATAACGAAATAATCAAATCGGGTCGAAGCAATTCGCGATTGTGCGCGCCAATTGAAACTATACAAAGGAGAGTTTATTTCAAACCAAACTCAATATGCTCCAAATTGCGTCTCGAATTCGATAATTATATTTCTCGCGATTGGTAAATATTTGCAGGTGAAATTTCACGTCATTTTGTTCAAATCACTTTCGAGATGTTCAATATTTAAAAAATCGCATCGTTTTGCGCGCGCTCTCTTGCGAGAGCAGCAGATATTTATTATTTATGACGATTATTTTATTGTAATTTATTTTATTGTTATGATTATATTTTTATTAAGTTTGTAAGTAACGCTACCATTTTCTGAATAAAGAACATACTGTTGTAAAACGTGTTTACAAGGTAAACAATTAACTAACATTCCTCGCACCGTTGTTGAACAATGAGAAAAACAAAAAGTGACATTTTTCGCGTCAGTGCAAGGAGAGAAAATTTTTACAGCATATTTACTAGTATATATAATTCCCGATTTCTTGCTAAGATATTAAACATCCTTTGAAAATGTTAATCTAAAAATGTTGGCCTAATTTTATTGTACATTAGTGACAACGTTTTTTCGCGAAAATGTCTCCTCGCACGTTTCGGGGAAACGGACTCTTTAACTTTGCAATATATCTTAAATTTCACGGATCGGCACGTTTCTCGATTCGTTCGCGAATCGCAAATCATTCTGTCTTCTCTCTCTCGCGCGCGAGGCCCGGGTACATCAAAGACATTTATGAGAAGGTACTTAACGCCGCACTAATTTTCTCTCACCCGCCTCTCGCAGGCATTCGATGCTATTATGCGATCGATACCGACGACGTACTAATTCCGTTATGCAGATGGATGTAGTTAAGAGTGTGTTTTGAAATCGAATGAGTTAATTAACCTCCTATATATATATCTATGCGTATCTCGTAACTTCACGCAAGCAAAATTCTGTTTCCGAAAAACGGAGAATCGTCGCCGAAATTGACTGCCAATTTACGTTGTCAATTTGCCACAGCACAGCTGTGTACAGACCTACCGGATTTAAGGACAAGCTTTAGTAGCTCGCTATTGTTTTCGCGATGTTTCTTTTTTTTTATTTTACATTCGCGATTTCGTTAGATTCTATACAAGTCGAAAATGTGTTACCACCAGTTAACGCAAAACGGTGAATCCTCTTCTCGGCGAGAAAGTCAAGTAAATTGAGAAAAAAAATAGTGCGACGTCAACACTTCAAAGTCGTGTTTGATTCGCAGTCGCAATTGTTGCTTGAAGTGCTTGTTTTCTAATTCAAGTCTGCGAGAGTTAAAATAACAGCACGTTGTTTTTTTATAGATTAACAAACGTTTCTGATTCGATCGCCTTCGACCGCAAGTGGTTGAATAAAATTTTCTTGATTCATCAAAGTTTTTTTTTTATCACGTGACATTAAATTTTTGGAGCAAAGAGGAAGTTTGACATTACGGAGGGATTACGGTCTCGGATTTTTCACAGCGACGTTATTTTAGATCCCTTTTGGTATTGTTGAAAAAAAAAAAAAAAAAACCATCAACAATCGACAGGTCTGTAAAATGTCAATTATTGAATGTTTTATACGGGACGTGAATATGGGGTTCGAGAGAAAAACGATTGTTGATCAAGCTAAAAACTGTTAACGAATTCATGGGTTCGGGTGCTCTCAACGGATGAGTTCTCTCGCGATGGTCATTTTCTCCGGACGGACTATATCGATCCCGGCGTGCACCTCGGAAAGGGATGCATGCCCCCGCACGTGACAATACGGTCGGTGCGCGCGTTAATCATACGAATGAATTCCTCGCCACGTTTTAAATTCCGTGACCCGCTCGGCCACGGGGGCATAATGAAATTGTTGTGTCCGCGCATCTATCTCTCGCGGGGATTAAAATCGATATGCAAATTGATTGAGATTGAAAAAAAAAAAAAAAAAAACGAAAGAACGCAACACTGAGAACTTCTCTTCAAAGAGAAGAAAAGAACCAACAAAATATTTCTTTGTTTCAAATCAAACAAGACGCGTTTCGATCCAAGATTTTTGAAACGCTTTTCTCAGCGTTTCGATAAATATCGAAAGAGTAGACAAAAAAAATTGTCAAACAATGTAAAAAAAAGTTAAAGTGTGATCAGTGTCCAAATTGAAAAATAAAATTCGAGCATCGGGAAGTGGTAATTTTAATTTTATCTTTGAGACTGTTGGGAGGCTTTTTGCGGTAAAAATTCGAATAACAACAAAAGATCTCCGATTTTTCGACAATCAATCGGATAATTAAACGGGATGTACGATTTGGGAGAAACTTGTTTTCGCGCGCACGCACACACACACGCCATCGGTGTGTGTCGTAAAAAATAATGAATGACGCAAATCCGTATGAGAGGGAAGGGAAGTGCACTTTATCTCCCGATGGTGCTGTTAATGCAATCACCCACTGAATTTGACACGGGAAACACCCGCGTCCCATTTAACACTTCCATAGGAAATGTCATCTTGTCAATCATCGGGCGCAGAGCGAGACTTAACGTCGGAACTTCATTTCGGTGATTGCGAGTAGCAAAAAGATGATAATCGATTGTCACCGATTATAAAAGAATTATTTTCGACCATATGCATACGCGCGCGTGTGTGTGTGTGTGTGTAAATAAGTGCATGAGAGAGCACAGAAGCCGATGTGCACACGTGAAAGATTATTTTTCACTCGAGTAATCAAAAAACGTTCATTATTTCTCGCTATAATAAAAGAATGCTCTTTCTCTCTCTTTCTCTCGTAAATGTGTCTCAGACTTCGTTCGTTTAATTCTGCAAAACGCCACGCAAGCTGTGCGCCAAATCTGGTTTTATTTTCGAACTCCTCGATAAGTAAGATAAAGTTGCGAAACTCTCTTTTTTTTTTGAGGGAGGGTATAATCTTCATCTCGAAGAATGTTTAATCGCTCTTTGCCAATTACGAACTTGTCTGATTTCAACGGGCAATTTTCCTTCACTACGGAAAGAGAGAGAGAGAGAGGGAACACGCGTCGCTTCTTACCTTTTTCTCCGCGTTTCTTTTTTTTTTTTTTATTACTCAGTGTATCTACGTTTATCGTATCGCGGTTCTTTAAATGGATGAAGACACTGCGTAGTGAGGTTTGCCGAGGACTTCAGACGGCGATTTTAAGCCAATTTTATCAGTTCATAAATCTTGTCTTTGCACTAGCTCTGCTTCTTGAATTACACCTTTGCGGTTTACAAAGGGCACAACGGAAAATACCAAGTGAAAATAATCAATACATTGTGAAAATTACAATGTAATTGATAATTAATAAATAAAAATAATTCTAATTAATAGAATATTTTAAATATAATTAATTGCAAATTATAATTTCACTTTAAACATAATCAATTTGTAATTAAAAATTATAATTAAAAAAATGGAAACAGCTCTTATTATGTTCCTTTAACAAACTTAACAAACTGTGGCTTGAAGTATATGTTGCGAGAACTCCGAGAAACTAATTTGTTTGCAAAATTTTCGATTGTTTCTAAGCTGCGAATTTTCTTCGGATATATCCTACTTATCGAGAAGTTGTTGTAAAATATAATAAACGCGAGACCGCGAGTCGCGAAATAAAAATGATAAAAAACAAAAGAAAAAGCGTAAACGAAATTTACAGTTCAAACGTTCGAACACTTATCGAACGCTTTTGAAACCAACAGCGACGACGCACATAAACGCGCAAATTGACAATCAGAACGAATAAAAACCAATAAAAAGCTTTTGCAACACTCTATCACAGTTTTGTAAAATATATACTTTTTCACTCTTCTGATTCGCATAATTCTGTTACTTTATTTTAGGATTGGTAAAACTCGGCGTGCACTGTGTGTTGGGTAAAAAAGTGGCGATCAAGATTATCAACCGTGAAAAGCTTTCGGAGTCCGTGTTAATGAAAGTGGAGCGCGAGATCGCCATTATGAAACTGATCGATCATCCGCATGTGCTCGGCCTCTCGGATGTGTACGAGAACAAGAAATATTTGTAAGCAATTTCTTTCTCTCTCTTTCTTTTTGTTTGTTTTTTTTTTTTCCCAAGTAAAATAACGCAAAAATGATCACCGTGAGATTTTCCACAGCACGGGACGACACGTGCAAATATAAGATATCGTAAAAAAAATAAAAATAAGAGAAATACAAGTCTCGAATGGTAACGAGAATAAATATCTTGAATTATTCGTTTGAAAATTATTTATATTCGGCAAACTGACAAACAAAAATGTTACTGCGTAAACAGGACATTTATTAAAGAAATAATTATAGATAAGCAAATTAAATTTTAATCAATTGTCACAATATTTCAAGTATTTCTTGAAAAACTGTGTTTTTATTTGTTAGTTTTTTTTTGACTTAACTTTATATAATTTGTTAACAATTATTTCTCTAATAAATGTCCATCGGTACTTGATTCCGGTCATTAGGAAAATTCTTTCGTATTTGTATTGCCCGCGTTCTATATGGAATAATTTTTTTACTTTTTTCAAGATATCTCGTTCTGGAACACGTCTCGGGCGGAGAACTGTTCGATTATTTAGTTAAGAAGGGTAGGTTAACACCAAAGGAGGCGAGAAGATTTTTTCGACAAATAATTTCCGCATTAGACTTTTGTCATAGTCATAGTATATGGTGAGTTTTACGCGTGAAAAGCGAGCCCAAAAGCTCGTTTTTACGTGCTCTTCGAAAGCACGTTAAACCCGGAACTGATTGTTGCTCCGACCGTTTCAGTCATAGAGATTTGAAGCCTGAAAACTTGTTGTTGGACGAGAAGAATAACATTAAGATAGCGGATTTCGGAATGGCGTCTTTGCAGCCCGCGGGCTCCATGCTCGAGACCAGCTGCGGATCTCCTCATTACGCCTGCCCCGAAGTCATTAGAGTAAGATTTTTACTTTGTAATGCGATTAAAAAATTCTAAATTAACCCTGATTCCGAAACCTGATCTCTTTTTTTTTCACATTTCATTTCTCTTTCCGCAAGAAACAAAAATCATAAAAATTAAATAACAAAAATTTGTTTTTTAAATGAACATCAGCACATGCGTTAGAGAAAAATTCGCCAGAAGTTTTCGCGAATTTTTCAAATATTCAAAACCCAAGTGAATAATTAAAACAAAACGAGATTCGCGTGGTTCGCTTTTCAGAGTGCCGAGAAAAGAACAAAAAAAAAAAAAAAACGTTTCAGAATCAGAGTTAATTATGTATTAAAGCGGGAGCGACGTAGTCGCTTAACGCGTACGTCGTTAAAAAATCTCCGTGTCGTTCTAAAAAAAAAAACACGCGTTTATCCTCTCGACAGGGTGAAAAGTACGACGGCAGAAAGGCGGACGTTTGGTCCTGCGGGGTGATACTGTACGCTCTTCTGGTGGGTGCTCTGCCCTTCGACGACGACAATCTGAGGAAGTTATTGGAGAAGGTTAAACGCGGGTTGTTTTATATACCGCACTTTGTGCCGCCGGAATGTCAGAATTTGCTCAGAGGCATGATAGAGGTCGACCCCGAGAAGAGGTTGACGGTGAGATCATCATCAACTGTCCCGTTTTCCACCATTTCACAAGTAGCTTTAACTTCAATTAATTATTAAACAACATCTATTATTCTTGCACACGTCTTTTCTTTTTAGTTAGCGGAAATAAATAGGCATGTTTGGGTGACGGCGGCGGGTAAGGGTGAGCTCGAACTAGAACTGTCGATGATGGAAGTAGTGCAGACGCACGTTATTCCGTCCGTGGATGCGATCGATCCAGACGTGCTGCAGGCGATCGCAAGCCTTGGTTGTTTCAAGGAGCGCGATAAGCTCATCCAGGAGCTACTCAGTCCTAAGTAAGATAACTTCTCTCTGTTTTAACAAGACTCTCAACTTTGTTTTCGTTTGAACATGAGAGAACCAGACCCGGGGGAAAGGTCTCTCGTACGTGGGCAAATTCCGCATTCTGGTTTTAATTATTATATATAAATCACGTATGAGAATATACATATCGAGACCATCTCACACGTACCTCGAGACTCGAGTCTCGAAGGACGTGATCTTTCTCAAAGGACCGGATCCACTTCTCACTCGTACTTGTACCGAATATAATCGAAAAAGGTCGCTTCGTACACGCAAATATATATTTAAAAATAAATATATATTTGTACGAGCGCAATTTAAATATCGGGTTCTCGAGTGACTCAGCCATCATCGAAGTGTGTGTGCGCGTGGGGAAAAAAAAAATAGAGTTGTTGTTTCAATTAACGTCACAAAAATAAATAGTCCACTCAATTGCATCGTGCAATTAATTTAATATCCAGATTCCCGAAACAACTATCTGCCGTGTGGGGTTCGATAACAATATTGATGTTGCGTTCAACAGAATAAGTTTCAAATTAAACCGATGCCGTTGACTCGACATCGTTTTTTTTCCGCGTGTCGATCCAGTAAAAAAACCAGATCTAGAATTTGTTCGTACGCGAAGAATCTTTGTTTTCTCGAGAAGAGAAATAATTAATTAAACTAATCTTTTCTCAGTCACAATACGGAGAAAGTGATATACTTCCTGTTGCTGGAGAGGAAACGAAGAAGACCGGCGTGCGAGGACGAGCTCGAGCTAATGAGGGGTGGGATGAGGGGATCAGCGGGACAATTAGAGGCCGATCCGCCGAGGAAACGAGTGGACACGTGTAGAGTTAACGGGAGCACGGCGCTCAATCTCGGCCAAATCAGTCACGGCTCGCCTTTGACACCCAGGAGACAGTCCAGGTAAAATATATTCGCGGCGAGAGAACGTTTTCGAACCACGTCGCGCGAATCACAATTCGTTTCACTCGTCTCCGTCGCGTGATTAAAAAAAAAAAAAGTTGAAAATCGATTTTACTCGCGATTTGTTTTTTTTTTTTGTAACAATAGCTAAAACCTCTAACACGTACCGTATTCATTGAAAAATACGCTCGGCATTAAAATCAGACAGCTGCTGTGCAAGTTCATTTCAAGGTAGGCGATCGCGTGACAGCGTCAATTATCCGCACATGTCGCCCGTTCTATATATCTCGTATTCCCCCGCGATTTACATTTTTCCCCTCCCCCTTCTCGTTAGATCTGAGCTTCCGCGTTTTACAAACGTCAAACTCTCGTGTAAGTGACACACAAAATCAATCGCGCACCGAATTATATCTCGATACGTTCCGATAACTTGTCACAGTTAGTTAAATGAAACATAATTTTTAAACAATATCAAACAAATGTTTTGAGTATTTTTTCTAAAAAAAACATTTTTCATTTGTTTCTATTTTCTCGCACATGCAAATACGTGGGTATAATTTTTGTTTTTTTAAATAAATGTCCGGGATCTTATTGATTTTTTTCTACGTAGGTAATTAAAAGACTGTAACAGAGAGAAGTGTCGATGTTTCTAATTCGAATGATTCGCGCAACGTCTCGTTACGTAATAGCAAAATCCACAGAGAACACGTCGTCAAAACGGCAACATATTTGCGCGCAATTAGAAGCGATTTGCATCTAATCTGTCGGGATTGCGCGCAATTGCTTGTCGTCAGTCTGTTACGGATGTAATTGATTTGGCGCTAATTGTGTGTCTCAGCACAAGACACCACGCGAGACGATCGCCGAGCATGGGCGGATGCCACACTCACACGTCGCACTCGCACACATCGACGCCGGGGAGTTCGCCCCTGCACGCGCCCGCGGGTCTGCTAAGTCCCCACAGAGCGGTACCGACGTCGCATTTGGGCCAGACAGCCGACGGTCTCCACAGACTGTCAATCGGTGGCGGTACCACTGCCAATGCCGCCGGGAACGGCGCAAGTCCCGCAAATCAAATCGTACCGACGGCGGCATCGGCACCCTCGTCGGCGCTCACCAATGTCGGAATCGAACTCAACGACGTTCAACCCGGTGAGATAGAAAAGGAGATTACACTGTTATCGATCAATAATTTTATCTTTTACATTAATTATTTTATATTAATTATCATCCTGTCAATTAATATTCTTATCTTTTACGTTATATTTTAATTATTATTGTACACAAAAAATTGTGAAACATATTCAAATCCGTCTTACAAAACGATAGATCATATATACCGTTTTGTTAATAATTAATATTTTTATCTTTTATATTGTTTTAATATTATTGCAAAATTAAAAAAATTCACGTACTCACAAATCCACCTTGTTAATTAATTTACATTTTAAATAAAGCAATTATCAGAGAATTGTATTTCTGACATTGCAATATTATGTAACACCCGCCATGGAATATTACAATTACGACACTATAGCGCAAAACGTATTTGCAACACGTAGCAAAATTGTAATACTTCGTGCTGCAAGAACTCCTGCGGATTTTGAGACAATGAATTTATTATCACACGTCACTTTTGCAACAATCCGCGGCGATATCAAATACACGGCGCGTTCTTTGTTCAATTTCTCCTCTTTTTTTCTTTTTATTGCAGCATTTTTCTCTGAGATTGATTTTTTGATCGTCTCTCTCTTAGTTAACGTCACACGTTAAAACAATTGTAGACTACGCGTAATGCGAATCTTGTATCGTATAGCACCGGCCGATAATCACTTAAGCTAGCTGCCGCTTTTAGAAGCTACATACCGTTCTGTAAGCGCAGTAGATCGAATTACGCTAAGTGCTCTCGTGTTTATCGCGTAGTCTCGTGCGAGAGAATGTGTATGTGTGTGTGTGTGTGTGTACAAACAGAGTTTAAAACAGGATTTCCCCCGATGCGATTACGGAGATTGATATTTCCGAACATTTCGCGTCTTATCGAACATTATATATATATATATTGTTCGGAAATCATATCATTTGCTTTCGCAGTGGTCGCGGTTGGCGTCACACCACCGGGATCACCTCACACGGGAGCGGGATCCGGGGCTCACCACTGGAAATCGCGACTGACCACCATCAAGAATTCCTTCTTGGGCAGTCCCAGGTTTCATCGTCGCAAACTACTCACCAGTACCGAGGAGGTGCGTGTCGCCGGATTAGAAAAATACAATTGTTTGTTGTTTCGCGTTGATCCGGAATTACCGTCACAGACCCAGTTTTTGATCAGTACTCAATTTTTTTTATCAGTTTGTTTAAAAAAAATATTATAGTAAAGTTTTGGTCATCAAAATTAGTCCGAAAGGAAGTATACAGATGCTGGAATAATTAATTATTATGTCAAAATTGTTTTCGGACTAATTTTAATGATCAAAACCTTACTGTAATACTTTTTTAACAACTGATTAAAAATTGGATACCGATCAAAAACTCGATCAATGACGGTAAATACTTTATGTAATTTTCTATGTTTTTTTTCTGTTTTATATATTCAATATGTTACTTATTAAATTAAAGTAATTTTGCACATCAAATGCCAGATTTTTTTTACGTAACAAAATTACAATTCTTTGCTGTTTTTGCGTCAATCGCGCAGGCGAAGGATCGAAAATCAATTTTTTTATACAAATATATCGTATATAGGTCCACCTCACGCCGGACTCGTCGCCGGAACTTACGAAGAAATCGTGGTTCGGTAGTTTGATGACTACAGAAAAAGACGAGACGTTCACCGTCTTGGTCAAGGGAAAACCGCTAGCCAGTGTCAAGGCTGATCTGATCCATGCGTTTTTATCAGTACGTATAAACGAGCTCGCAACCGACGTCTACGTCGCGAAATAATTTTCAGAAACGACGAAAAAAAATATTATTATTTTAAAATAAAACCGATTGTAAATCGATTTTTTTTTTCTACACACTGCTAACGAGAATCACAGAATCTGAACTTTGTGGCGAGATGAATTTATTAATCTCGCCAACGAATCTGATGTTTGCAGATAGCAGAATTATCTCATAGCGTGAGTTCGCCGATGTCGTTCAGAGTGGAATACAAGAGAAGTAGCACCGCTCCCGCCATGTTCCAGAGACAAGTGAGATTTCAAGTTGACATAAACGTCATCTCGAAGCAGAACGAGCCTCTGTTCGCCATCACTTTCACATTATTGAGCGGTAATACTTTTCTTCTCTATATTTTTGATCACGTATGATGTAATTTTTTTTTTCTGAGAGAGAGAAAAGATCTTTTTGAAAGAAAATTTGATTATACATTTAGTCTCTTTCAATGAATTACTTCCTGCCCGCTAATATTTTATACATATCTGTGCCTATCTATGACCGAGAGAATTATAAAATGACATCGGTCTACGTTTCGCAGGTAACATTCGAAGGTTCAGACGAGTGTGCGAGCACATTCAGTCCCAAGTGTGTTCGAGGAACGTGGGTGTGAATTTGGGAGGGCAAAGCAGAGCGGCGCCGCCTAGTCCGAGGGCCTCCAGAAAGTTCGCTACGGAAATGAGCGAAAGTTCCAGTTGCGGTAGCGACACAAGCGAGCGGCTCTTCCTCAGTCCTCATCCAGCTACCAGACAGGTAGTTTATTTCAACAAGGTAGCGCATCATCCTCATCATCGTCATTGTCATTTTTTTTTTCTCATTAAACCGTGAAGTAAATAAAAAACACTTCGATCTTTTTTAACTGGCAACTGAGAAGATCGCTCGTCCGAGCAATGACAATCGATTAATCTAACGCGCTCGGTATCTGGCGTTTTTTTTTTTTTTCATTGGTTTCAGATCGACTCGGACATCGAGTCCGACACGTCGGTGTTCGACGTCAAGTCGCCGACCCGCGAGAACGGGAGAAGAAGTTCGACGTCGACGAACAACAACAACGCCCTGCCGGGCGACGTAACACCAACCCCGGGTAGTCCGCCGAAAGCGGTGCGGAGCAACTCGGAGAGCCAGAACACGCCCGAGAAGAAATGCGTCACGACGATGAGCGGTAACAATATAGCGTGATACTACCAGAATCTTCGCTTCGAGTTCCGGTCGAATTTGAAAAATTTCTGGAACAGTGCTCAGAGATTCTGGTGAGACATCAAATCACACAATCTCCGCCGATAAACTGTTGGAACAATTTTGAACGAAAAAGTTGCAGATATACGCGAAACACATCTCTCTCTATATACATATATACATATAATTAATGTAACACTCCGACATACAGAATTAGTCTGACTTTTCAATCAGCGTGAAGATCAAGATGCGCTCAGTTTAGCGAGGGTTACACATGCCTCGCGAAGTTCGAAAAAATTATATAGATTAATAGAGAATAGAACGCCCGAACAGCACGCGGAATGTCTTTTGAACGTCCCGAAGGACATTCCGCTTGCGGGATATCCGGAGGATGTTCTCTTGCAATCCTCGTAATCTTTCCTCAGAACCTCCCGAACTTATCCTTCGCACACGTGTCCGAGGATATTTCAGGGATAAGTCAGGGAATAGTTTTTCAGGATCTCGAGGGGTCGGGTGTCCTCGTGCTGTTCGGGGATAAGTGTCGCCGATCTGTTCCAGCGTCATGATGCGCGAAGAGGGAATGACTTAGCGGCGATAATTATCGATATTTTGCTTACACTTACATCCGACATTTGTAAACGTACATTTCCGGAAGAATTTGAGCTCAGCTGTCGAAAAGAAAAAAAAAACTAAATACTCAATATTGCGTATCGATTTTGTGTTCGCCCCCCGATTTCAAAACGTCACATCGACGACGTCGTGTTGTCACGCCAAAAACGTCCGTTCGCGAAATGTGGGGAGAGACTACGTTAAATCACCTCTGACGATAGTAGAAAATTGTCGAGAACCTCGTCGAATTTGATGTGATGTGTGTGTTTCAAATAGAAAGATCCGCGCAAATATACGACACGAAAAAAATAAATAAATAAATAATTTACACGAAGAGAAAGGCGCAAAAATCATAATACGAGTCCGGGAGAAGTGTGTGAGATACGCGTGTGTTTCGCGAAGTGCAATAATAATAAAGCGGCGGTGTTTTTCGGCTTGTACGCGTGTGGAGGAGAATTCATCACAATCGTCGCCGATCCTCGCGTGTGCGTTAAGTTTAGGAAATAGCGCTTTTGCGTTTTAGAACACGTGTTTCATTCGTTAGATAAAGTACAAAAGCCGTATTGCTTATTGAAAAAAAAAAAAAAAAGTGTACACACTTTTTAATCGTTACTTCGATCGATTTTTCCGTTTTTAAATTAAGTATCGTATCCTTGTTAAATTTAAGTCATATCCTTGTTATTTTTGCATTCTCGTTTGCTGATCGCGTGACTATTAATCAACGTCGTCGGCCGTCGTGTTGTTGTGTCGCATCGATCTCTTTGAGATGCGACATATATATATATATATATATATATATATATATATATATATATATATATATATATTTGAAACCGAATACAGTATTTCTGTATCGATAATAATAATAATGATATATCGAATATATCGACCCGCATCTATCGGAAGAGATGAAAGACGCGAGTTCTCCGTGCAATCGTGCGCAAAGAACGTGCGATCAAGGATTTTTCTCTCTCTTTTTTTTTTTTTTTCAACGTTAAGAAGAAGAAGACAGAGAGGAGGGAGAGAGAAGAAACACACACACAGAGCCCCCATTATATTAATAAAATGATGTATAAATACGTACGAAGAGAGAGACTATAATATGCACATACGCGCGCGCTCCTCGACGTCATGATTGTACGAACCAACGTATATATATTGTATATGGCTTCTCAGTTGCTTCTCAGACGAATAAAAAAAACCAAAAAAAAAAAACCCAAAAAAACACTAAAGTCGACATATATGCGCATGTAAAACCTCTGCCGGACGTTTAAAGGCTATATCGTTGCTGAATGTAACTCGCGTATAAAAAAAAAAGAACAAAAATATATATATATATATATACATACAAAATCCAGTACGGGAGTTGCACTTCCATACGCAATAAATAATAATAAAAAAAAAAAAAAGGCAGAATAGTTTCCGTAAAAGATTATTATATTCTCTCAAACACGAACATACATATCTCGAGATTTTTCCCCTATCGGCTTTTAGAAGAAAAAGAAATATACGATACAAGGCGTATCTGTGCATTTATAGCGTCGCGTTGTCAAACGAATGAAGAAAAAGACGCGAAGAAGGAGAAGAAAGAAAATCGCGTCGCAATGAAATGTTTTAGGGAGGAAGGGGAAAGAAAATTTTTTTAGAAAAATACAAACCGAGCGTTGAACGCCTCGAAACCTTCGAGAGCGTTGAACGCTCTCGGAGATCGGAATTTTTCTTCGAAGATCAGCGACGCAATTACCACGAGACAATGAGAACAATTGTCTATGGCGATTATCGGACACCGATCGTCGCGCGATCTGAAGTTCTTACAAGAGTAGACGATTACGTAGCGCGCAAGAAGAAGAGACGGAAGGTGGACGAGAGAAAGAGTGTGTGTGTGCGTGCGTGCGTGCGTGAGTGTACGCGTGCGTGTGTGTGTGTGTGTAGAAGTTTGCACTAATCAAAATTGTGATTTTTTTAACGCGTATCAGATCTCCCTAATTAAGCTCTCGCGCTTTAGGTATATTACTTACGTATTATATGCATATATATATATACGATATATATGTATGTATGTATATATATATACACATCACGCACGTGATTCGTTCCTATATGTATAAAAGCTATATCGCGTCCGAACGATGACACACAAAGAAAACAAATGTGTATTGCATTTCGAAAAGTAGCAAATTTTTCGCGAGAATCAATGGTTTTCCACACAGCTCGTTTGCAAAAAAACATTGACTTTTCGCATTTATCAAACGGACAAAATGTAATGCATTATAAAAAAAAAAAGAGTTTTATAATGCTGATGTGTCGAGATATAAATGTGAAAATTTTTGTAAAATTGTTAACCGTTTAGGTATATACATATATACATATATACATATACATATTTTCAATTTTTTATAGTTGTGCTCCCACTCTCGTGATGCATAGGCGTTTTATACGAATTGTGTAAGGGTTAACGAAAAAAAAAAAAAAAAAACCAAGTGAGAGAGAGATATAGAGTGTTATTTGTACATGTTGATTTTTTTGGTCAAATGCGCACATCATATCATATTACATAGATAAAGCATGAATCATAACGTTTTCTTTTTTTTCTCCAAAAACCCCGTCTCTTATGTGTGTGTGCGAAAGAAATTGGAGATATCGCCGTAACGCACGCCTCGATTTTAATGCGCGATGGTCGGTTGCACAAAGATAAAAAAAAAAAAACGCGAATCGATCTATTCAGAACTTTTCGTCTTTGTGGATTAATTACATCAGCAAGGAACGAGAGAAGAGAGAGCCGATAGATTAAAAGTCGTCCGCGCGTGCGCGTCATTTGGCAGAAAAAAACGATATTTTTTTAAATATCTCTTGAAATATAGTAAAATTCTTTCCTGTTTTTTGATATGCTTTGTCGAGAAAAAAAAAAACCGGACCTTGCAAAAGAAGTTGCGCGAAATCATCTATTGTGCAAAACTAAGGAGAGCGTGTGAGCGTTTACGTGTATCATATGTGAGCAAGAGTAAAATAGAACGTTACATAGAATGTAGAAGATAAATCTGGATTTAATGTTGCAATACACACACACACATCCACACACACAGACACGTGCAACATACACACACACACACACCACATGCATATAAATAAAAATTAGCGCATAAGTTTGCAACTACCTACTTACATTTACTAAAGAGAATTGCAGTTAATTATAAAAACCACTCACACACAAAGTACTAAAATATATTTAATAACGAAATGAGAGAAGAAAAAAAAACAGGAAGTAACAAAAGTGGTGATAAAGGGAGAGAGAAAGATGTACGTGTGCTGCGGTCTGACGTGCGAGCGATTATTTAATTTAATCGCAACAGAGATTCGAGGACGATATTCCCCGTTTAAAAAAATTACTAAACGACTCGATTTTCAACCGCGAGATAAAATTACGCTTCAAAAAGCTACTTGCAATTTATATCTTTATTAATAAACGACAACGTTCATCGCTCTCTTCGATCAGAATTAAGACGACGAAGGATTCTGGCTTTGTTTTTACGTCAATTTTTGTAGAAAATAAGCGAAATTGTTAAAGAAACACGCACGCTTCTCTGAGTAAACTCGGAGCTCGCGCGCGGATCGCGGCGAAATATCTCACAAAGGAAGACACAATCGAGTCTCCGACATACGTCGCAACATTATTATCCAACATACCGTATTCCTAAGGCATTATAAGCTAGAGATTGAATATAGGAAAAATTTTTATACGATTTATAAAACAACGCAGTTTGTGCACGCCACTGATTTCTTATATTTTGCGCTGTTTGTTGCAATTTTTGGTTGAATATAGAAATTTAATTTTGTGTGTAAATATTAGTGAGAGATTTTTGGTTGCAAATATTCGGCTATTTTCCTACTGTGCGGGCGGAGGATCACGTGACTAACCCCGGGCACAAGTCGCAGGAAAAACCTTCGAGCGGAAAATTAATTGATTTACATGATAAAAAAAAAAAAAAAGAAAATAGTCGAAGCGTGTATTCCGCATCTTGTCTTTATTCGCGAATATTGTATCTCCGATTATAATATGTAATTAATTATTATTCTGACGACAACAATCTTCAGAGTCCTAATCGTTCGATATATAAAATTTCCGTTCGCGCGGACACGCGTCTTACGTAGTACTTGCAACATACGCAAGCAATGATTTGTGCGCAACAGCAGGAAAACTAATGAGAGAACTAATCAATCGTTTTCAATTGATTACTTTTGCTCGTGTAAGTGTACATATAGTACGTGTACACAATCAAGTATACAGTGATAGATCAGAAGGATAACCCGAGAGAGGTCTCGCACATGTTAGACAAATTCTTTATCCGAGTTTCCGTAATTATATATTTGTTATATATATAATATATATGTATATATATAATTTAGATATAATCGTAACCGGATGCGGGATTTTTGTCCGCGCGTGCGAGGAATTTCTTTCTTTCCGGGGAAAAAACGGAATCGCGCAGGTCGCCGCGACGTGCCTCGCATCGTCCTCGTGCTCCTCCAGAGAGAACTCGTTTATATATATATATAAGTAGATAAGATAATATGCCACACGTATGTACGATCCTATCTAAAAGTGATTCCATGTGATTTATTTTTTATTATCGAGCTTTTGCCTATTGCGCTTATATATATATACATATATATGTATATATATATATATATGTAACAAAATACTCATCGTGTATCTCATCGCAGGTTTTTTTTGTACGATTGTCGCGCCTGTGTGTCATACGATATACCTATCTCTTTAAAAATCACTTTGAATCTTTTAATAGCCGCAACAAACGACGAGGTCCAATTAATTTTAGCCGGAGATTTAGCGGAGGCGGAATATAGAACGAAGCACGTATTGGATACTCGTGATATCGAAGTTAATAATCTGATTAAAAAAAAAAAAAAAAAAAAACAATTCGAAAGAGACAAGATATTCAAAAACCTTCCATAATCGTTTTCGACGCTTCTCTGTTGTTCTTAGAGAGAGTTTCAGCGTGAAAAAAATCATGACTTACGTGGGATATCCTCCAAAATGCTTCTTTATACAGGTATATATATGTATATTTAACAGCACGTAATTACCTACACTACTATGTATTGTCGATAACGATTGCAAGCGGTACGCGTATCGTTTCAATCACGCACCCTCAGATCTCATATTCGCATCTCAGCACGCATCTCTTCTTATCATTGTTCGTAAGCTTAAAATAGGATTTTAGCGCGCGAACTTCTCTCAAAAGAGAAAGAGAGAGAGAGAGAGATAGAGAGAGAGAGATTATAATCTATGTACCGGGCCACTGAAACGCGATCGAAGAAACCGCAGTACCTTTTTCGCAATGTAATCGCCTTTCTCGGAGTTTCTAAGATCGTATAAAGATAATACCGGACCGATCGATTCACTTTCACGCGAAGTTGCGTACTCAAGAATTTTATGACCACCGAAATTCGCACTCAAAAATTTACATTTGCAGTCGCGCTCTTCCTCTTTGCGTTCAATAATATTATATATATTTGTGTAATAATTTTTTTTAATTTAAAAGAGAGAAATAGTGTCATTGTCGTCGCTGCTGACAATTTTGTTTCTGATTTTGTTCAAACGAGAAACGGTGAAAATAAAGAAAATCGGCCGCGGAAAAACTCGCGCTACGACGAGCTTCGATCTGCAGTAGGTGCGCGATATGTGCTGAATATTTAGTAAACGTCCAGAAACAAACTGAC